CGCACGCTGAATGAAAATCATGGCCACGCACATGAGCGCCTTTGCCTTCAACACTTGCCTTTCTGACTTGCAGGCTGCCTTCGCAGCGAGGCATGCTGCCAACAGAAGGCCAACGGCTTGTGCCAACAACACCTGAGGAAACAACACTATGCAACGGCACCAACTTTGAAAGAAAGTAACGAAAGGCACAGCAGAGTGTGGGCGGCCAGGGCCTTTGCGGGTATCAATGTTTGACTGCCGAGGCGGCGCAGAAGGGGGGCGAGAGTGTGGCAGGAAAGGCGGGCTCGGGGGAAGGTCGTCAGCCATCATCTGCAGGAAGAACATTGGGGCGGGCATGAGGGCAGGCATGAGGGCAGGCACGGCATATGGCGCCGGCCGCACGCTGTTCAGGCAGCGGCCAAGCTGAACGACACAGGCAACACTGACCGCAGCGCAAGCCAGCAATCTCAGCTTCGAGCGCCGTGCGCGTTTCCTTTCTGACTTGAAGGCTTCCTTCCCAGCAAGGGCTACTGCTAACAGCAGGCCAACAGCTTGCGCCAACAACAGCTGAGGAAACGGCAGGCCAACAGCTTGCGCCAACAACTGAGGAAACAACACTATGCAACGGCACCAACTCTGGAAGAAAGCGACAAAAGGCACATCAGAGTGTGGCAGGACAGCGCCTTTGCAGGTCTCATCGTTTGACTGCCGAGTGTGTGGCAGGAAAGGGGGGCTCAGGGGAATGTGGTCAGCCATCATCTGCGGGAAGAACATTGGGGCATCAGCGCGGGCACGGCGTATGGCACCGGCCGCGCACTGTTCAGGCAGCGGGCAAGCTGAGCGACACAGGCGACACTGATCGCAGCGCAGGCCAGCAAACTTAGCTTGGAGCGCCGTGCACGTGCGCCACTCAATGCCTCCAGGTGCGCCAGCGCGCGCGAGGGCAAAACACACATGACCAGCAGCCTGCCTTCAGCTCCACTTTGTCAGCGTTTCCCTCCAGAACATCATCCTGGGCAGCGCGTCAAAGGGCAAATGAACGGGCAGCTAAAAAAGCACCTGCCGTTGACACGTAAAACCCCAAAACCAGTGAAGCGTTGGGGAAAGAAACTAGCCCTTCGCAGCTTGCGCTCTCACTGCGAGCGCCTCCTCTGCAGCGCCGAGCTTTGCCTCTGCGTCGGTCGCCTCAGCACTCAGAACAGCGCGTTCAGCCGCAAAAGGGCGAGGCTTGGACCCAGGAAGTCAGACCCAGCTGATATGATTTTTGTATTTGCTGACTGCATGGCCCTCAACCCAAATATTGGATGTAATATCAGGTGGGTCCGACTTTCTGGGTAAAAAGTTCGTCTCAAGGACAATTGTCAGCTTTGGTCTGGGGCTACAGCGTCCTGAGCTCGAACCTGCACTCCGGGCGCTGCAGGCAAGTGGCAAAACGCAGGATACGGTGTGTTGGCAAGCTGCTCGCCACACAAAACATTGCCGCAACGCTAGGGCCTCCTCTTCAGTCCGCCCAAGATCCATCCTCCTTGGTAGGGTGACACGCGTGCGCACAGTCTTTCAGTCAATTTGGGCAACACTATATCGAGCGACGCCTGTCCTGCAGTGTTTCCAGCGGAGGGAGATCCTGGAGCGCAGGGCCAGCAATTCTACCTCAGCCCTGTTTCCCTTAGCAAGGCCTCCCAATCGTCCTGAGACTGCTCCTGAGCCCAGAGGACACGAACTCATGTTTGTTGAGTACCGGGGCTGCCTCTTGGCACAGAAACGCAATTTGGGGATGTGTCACACGTGGCCCCCTACAAGTGGACACAAGTGGCTAGCTTGCTTTGGGATTCCTGTTAGAAACACGGCTCCTACTTTTGTTTTGGCACACTTCCACATCACCCGACGCCAAGTGCCTCGTCACACATGTCGGCCCACGCCGAACGCTTTGGTGGCACCTCTGGCAATGCAAGTTTGCTCAGGACACGACGCTCAGCGGTGAGGGCAGGCCTCATTCTTGCACTCGCGCGAGGACATTGCCGGGAACGACCTCGGTGCAAAAGCAGGGAAGAGACCGCGAACAACTTTGCAGCGGCAGCAGGTGCGCAGCATCCAAGGTCTTGTCAGTGGAGCTGGGCCCGAAATTGCAAAGAAAAGGCTTGTTGCTTGACACGGCGAAGGCTGCAGAATCTCAGATGGCCTCTCCTAGCTCTTCCTTCAAAACTGCCATGAAATCCCCTAACCTATTGCTGGTGTTTGCGATGGAGGGGGGGAAGAAAAGCCAGTTCTACTGATTGCGTGGATCACACACAGGCGCCGTCCCATGTCCACGCTAAACCGACCACTAAGTTCGAATAATAGTGTCCTGGCCGCGTGGAGCGTTTAATGGCACCTCAGGCTTCTCCAGCCACAAGCCCAGGAGAACACGTTGCTCAAGGATTGCTCAGCTCTTTCCTCAGAAGCATGTTCAAAAGAGCGTGGCCGGGGAAAAGGCTGAGGACGCAGGATGGACGCGCGCAGAGGCGTGCGGATGGGTGGATGGGCCCGGGCCGTGCGGCCTGACGGCATGCTCCCTCCCGCCATAGGCCTTCACGGCTGACCGCGTTTAGAGTTCAACATGCCGGCGCCCAGCTCTGCCAAAGTGGTGAGCAGGGTCTGCTGCACCCCACCACCTGCGCCAACAAAGGACAATGATGTCAAAGGCTGGCCCGCAGAAGGGCAACACAGCGTGACATCCTCGAAATGCAAGGCGGCCCTATTGCCGCTGCCCGTCGTGATCACTCACAGAGGTACTAAGCCACAACCACACCCGGTGAATCTAAAGAAGGTGCGCTGTCCATCCACTACCTTCCACTCACCCTCGTGAAGTTAGGGTGTTGGCAGCAGCTCGCACCAACTTCTTTCGAGCCACCCTGCAACAGGGTCTAGGCTGGTAGGTAGGCCGACACCGCCTGTGTGTATGTATGTATGCATGTACGCATGCATGAATGTATGTTTGTTTGTTTGTTTGTTTGTTTGTTTGTTTGTTTGTTTGTATGAGTGTGTATGTATGTATGTATGTATGTATGTATGTATGTATGTATGTATGTATGTATGTATGTATGTATGTATGTATGTATGTATGTTTGTGTTGTTGTGTATGTATGTATGTATGTATGTATGATGTGTGTATGTAATGTATGTATGTATGTATGTATGTATGTATGTATGTATGTATGTATGTATGTATGTATGTATGTATGTATGTATGTATGTATGTATGTATGTATATGTATGTATGTATGTATGTATGTATGTATGTATGTATGTATGTATGTATGTATGTATGTATGTATGTATGTATGTATGTATGTATGTATATGTATGTATGTATGTATGTATGTATGTATGTATGTATGTATGTATGTATGTATGTATGTATGTATGTATGTATGTATGTATGTATGTATGTATGTATGTATGTATGTATGTATGTATGTGTGTGTGTGCATGCATGCATGCATGTATGTATGTGTGTGTGTGTGCCTGTTTGCGTGTGCATTTATGTGTGTATATGCATGTATGTACGTATGTACGTATGTATGCATGCATGTGTATGTAGTATGTAGTATCTAGTATGTGTGTGTGTATGTTGGTAGGTAGGTATGTACGCGTGCGCGCAGCCATGCTGATCGGACTCCGTGATTCCGTGATTCATCTCAACGCGACCCCCCCCCCCCCAAACTGTGCTGGATTGTTAAGTGGCTAACTGGCCCTCCCCCCGATTGCTAACTTGTTAACTTCCCCCCCCCCCACTGCTAGATTGTTCACTTGCTAACTGGCCCTCCCCCGTGGCTAACTGGCCCTCCCCCCGATTGCTAACTTGTTAACTTCCCCCCCCCCTGCTAGATTGTTAACTTGCTAACTGGCCCTCCCCCCCGATTGCTAACTTGTTAACTTGCTACCTGGCCTTCCCCCCGGAAGGAGTGCTGACTTGTCAACTTGCTGACTTCCGCCCCCCCTCGCCCCCTCCCCTCCGACTTTGCTAACTTGCTAACTGGCCCTTCCCTCTCTCAGGATTGCTAACTTGCTAACTTGCTAACAGACCCTCGCCCCCCCCCCCCCGAAGGATTGCTAACTTCTGAACTTGCTAACTGGCCCTCCCCCCCGAAGGATTGCTAACTTGTTAACTTGCTAACCCCCCCCCCCGACTTCACTAACTTGTTAACTTGTTAACTTGCTAACTGGCCCTCCCCCCCGAAGCATTGCTTCGCTAACTTGTTAACTTGCTAACCCCCCCCCCCCGCCACCGACTTCACTAACTTGTTAACTTGCTAACTGGCCCTCCCCCCTAACTTGTTAACTTGCTAACCCCCCCTCCCCCCCTCCGACTTTACTAACTTGTTAACTTGCTAACTGGCCCTCCCCCCCCCCCGAAGGATTGCTAACTTGTTAACTTGCTAACTGGCCACCCCCGGTTGGCCCTGGGGCCTACGTGTGTGTGCCTGTAAAACGGTTTAAATTTTGTTTGATCCCGATTTAATTTTTGTTTGATCCTGAATTAATTTTTTTTTGATGCGCATGCCGTCGCTGCCTTCGTCCTAGCCGTCGCCCCAGCGAGGCGATATGGACGGACACAGACATACATACATACTATACATATAGACTATTATATAGATATGCATGATATTACATCTGTGGGAGCGTATCTTTGTTCTGTATATGGAAATATATTCAAACAGCGGTGACTTCTCCCAGCACTTCAAGGACGTTGCAGCGTGAACCTCGTGCGACATGCACGCGAAACACCATGGGTCGTGGCTCCCTCACCCAAATCGCCTGGTTGACCTAGAGACAGCCAGCTGTTGACTCCCTCTAAAGGCTCAGTGACTCGAAGCAAATCGCGCTCGGCTAGATTAGGGGCTGACCAAAGGGACCCCCATCGTTTTGGCATTGTGCCTTTCAGGAGCGCTGCTGACCATGGAAGATATGTTTAAATTTTTGATACCAAGGCCATGGATGGGGCAAACAAGAATCTGTCCATGAATCAAAAACATGGCGTGCCTGCTCCAAGCCCAAGATCTCGCTGGAGATCAGCTTCCACTTGGCCTCGCAGATCGATCCCACCGCTCATCAAATCGCTCAACATTATAAGTAGCGCGTTGCGCGGGGATTGACAAAAGCCAACAAGCTGGGTCTCAAGAGATCCTCTAAACCAGTGGCCTATTGTGACGGGCCCCCTATCCGTGGGGGAGAAGGGGTATGGGTGGCTTTTGCTGGTGCCCTAGAAAGGGATTGTTGGTGTATTCATCGTCGCATAGGGCTGTAAAAGTAAACCATCAGTTGGTTGTGTATATTTGTGTTCATCAGTTTTTGGTATATATGCTGTTGTCCATCAAGTTTTGATGGTCCCCTATCGCTTTTGCTGATGCAGGTATCGGTATTTGATGGCCCCTATCGGGCTCGCGAAGCATTGTCGGGCATTCTGCTGAGACAAATACTTGAAGCCGTCACGCGGACAAACAGAGTTTGTGCGGAAAGCTATGTAGCCAATGCGGCAGCAAAACCGAGTTGCATGGGTGCTGTGCAAATCAAGGTGACACCAACGAGTTCCGACTCTTAAGTCTCTCTCAAAAAAGGAATCCATAAAGTGTCTCCAAACATTTCCCTTAGAAGTAAAACAACCAAAACTGCCAACTCCAAACCAAACCCACATCCCCTGCTCCCAACGACGAAAGCCAGCTTCCCTAAAACCCCCACGATCCTCATCAGCAGCGTACTGCTCTGGCGGTATCGCCTGAAGGGCACTTGGGGTGAAACATCCATGGCGATGTTTGCCTTTGGCCCTCGACAACAGGATGTGCGTCTGTCCTTGCTTTTCTGAAAGCAACCCCCTTTTTTGAGGTCTTTCAAGGGACACCAAAAGGAATACCACCATTTTGCGGATCCCCTAAAGAAAGACACCTCCCGTATACTCCTCCAAAAAGACACACTTGGGGGTGCCTCGGCCTTTTCACCGGACTTCACAGCCAGGACGCTTCTTTAACCGAATCGTCACCCAGGACCCTTCTGATAAAATCGTGGTTTTAGTGAAGCCCTTCAAAGAGTCCATAGAAAGTCTGATAGGTGTCCTTTTGGAAAAATAGATAGCACTGGCAAATGGAATAACACCCATCTAAACCAGTGCCTTCTATTTTGGACCAATTGTGCACAAAACGGGCCGATGTAGTGCCCAATCTGGAGACTGCGCGCCTTTTTGGCTAAACTGCAGCCGGAGACGGGGGAAGCCCCATGTGAACTTTACCCACTCAGTCACCCCCAAAAGATAGAATGAATTTCCTTGCAAGGGGCTTGCCACCCCTGATTTCTACCTCCGTTGTCCCGAAGTTCATATTCGTTTCTGTGAGAAGGTGGCACTCACAACCTCTGCGATCAATGCAGTAATGGCCAGGGGAACATTAAGGATCCGTCTTTCCGTGTGGGACACGCTTTTCCATGAAGTAGCTTACAGTATATCGGTGTTTCTCAAAATACGGATTCCTAAAATGGATGGTTGTCCTTTGGGTTTCTCTGGTTTTTGTGATTGATATTTAGTGAGCCCCCGTCCCGCCCAAGTTGAGCACAAACGACTGGACTGTTCAACCGGGGCCTCATATGCTCTTCTCAGTTGATCGTCGAAGGTCCGAATTCTGCCATCATATTATGACAACTCCTTTTTTGTACTTCTGCGTCTTCAGGCTCCGGCTTTGAAGATGTTCAGTGTTTCTTCGCCTTTGACGGTCTCCTCGAGCAAGTCCACCTGACACAAGAAGACGAGAAGAATGCTGCATCTGCACGAAACTCGATTTTCGGCCAATCTGAATCAAGGATGCCTAACCACCTGCGTCCTGTGCTCATTTCGTTTTGACCCCGGCATAGGCTCGCTACAGCTAACGGCCTCGTGCGTAATCTGATCCTCATCGTCAACCAGGTCAAGCTCCTCGAGAACCTGAAGTGTGATACCCTCCTGTCCACGAACTTGGAACACAGAGGGCCCCTTTCAAAGGAAAGTAGTCTTCCAAACCCCATCAGTCAGGTTCCACGACTGATGAAGATGGGAGGGTATATACCTGCAATGAAACCAAGCAGCCATAGGATGGTCGCTGAACTTCTTCCTTCGCGTCTCGAAGAGCCCTTCGATGACGTACTGCACCCTCCTTCCAGCAAAAAACAACTCGAAGATCTGACTCTTGCATCGCTTGTGTCTCCGTTTGTATCTAGGTGTCTTCTTGTGGGTACGCCTGTTTTTTGCTTTTAAGGGAAACTCAAATGGAAACCCGAAGCCATACTTATGGGTCATCTACAAACGTGGCGCTCCAAACGTGAATCTGACACTTGGGCCCGCGCTTGTCAATCTCACCCTCGTGCAGAATCGTGCGGAACCTTGCCGGAGCCCAGAATCGTGTCTGGCTGGAACAGCTGAAGAGGTGTGGACAATGTGTTGACGACTTCGCAGGTGACTTTCAACAAAGGGGCACTCATGTTGCACTCATTAAAATGCGGATGATACTTGAAGAGACTCTTGGGTGTAAAATGCGAGGATCATCAAAGTATTCCTATTCCGCTCGAAGCTGACCACCATCCAAGAGAGCCCAGCACACGTGCAAAGCTGCGAAAGGCTTGGCCCATGTTCCAGCGACATCAAACTACTCTCTTGAGATGTTCTATCGGGGCTTCCCAGCTCCAACTAAGAAACCAAAACCGAAAAGATGGGCTACCCCGCCCAAAAAAAAAAGAAGGAGGTGCTTTCCTTTGGTGCTCGTTTAAGAACCCGGAAAAAGTCGGGGGGGGTCCCTCCACCACAACCCAGCCCCCCAAAGGGGATTCGATTTTCCTCATCCTTTTCCCCGAGGCCCCCGCCGCTCGAAGATGGCCTGGCACCCGGACTTCGAGAGATCCTCCAGCGCCTGGCCCACTTCCTGGCGGACGGATCGAGGCCGAAAAACGCCGCGACGGGTCCCAGGAAAATTCGTCCATGGGCGCTTGGACAGGCCAAAACCACCCAAAAACAACACACGGGTGGTCCACCCCAAAATTGGTCCATTTGTACCCAAAATGGCTCACACAACAGCGCTGCAGGTACAAATGGAGCCTTGGAGGGTGCTGGTGAATACCATAAGGAATCCACAGGAACTGTTCTTCAAATGCCCTGCTAAAACTGAAAAACTGGAAACCCAACCACCGAGCCAACAAAAACACCTAAAGAGCTAAGGTGATGGCTGGGAGCCACAAGCGCCTAGGTAACCCAAACAACCCCAAAAATACATGAATATAATACCAAGAAGCCCAACGGGAAACCAGAAGGAAACCAGATGAACTGTTGCTTGATTCAAACCCGAATACGCGTACCCACACTTAAAAAAGTGGCTGGATACCCATTCACCTGCAGGTAAGCCAGAAAACCCGAAGCCCTTGAAACCGATGGCCATTGGGGTGCAGCACCTGCTCTTTTGTATGGCCTGGGAAATGTCCGCCTTGCCGGAAACTTTCCACTGGGCCCGTGACCAAAACGGCAGCAACATTGAGTTCATCAGCTGTGTCGCTGACCGAGACTCTGAAAAGCATCCCTCGCAAAAACAAAGGGAGTTTGAAGCCTCGTAGTGTCTTGAGCACAGGTACACAACAGGAGGGCTGTGGTGGATGTAAGCCACGGTCAATGTCATAATGTTCATTCTTCAACTTGTCGTGACATTGGACTTTGGCGAGTAATCGGCCGCTTGCAATTTGGTGAGTATAACGTACAGCTTTCATGCCATCCCGTTCACTATACAAGTACAAATGGTGAATGTTGGATCCCGGGCCGAAACGCCCTGTGGGAACCAGAGTTGGGAGCAGAATCACACTAAATGTCAATCCGCCCAACCAAACTTCAGTGCAATTCCTTTATCCAAATGTCAAAGGAACAATCGCGTGCCCCCCACTATGTGCCCCTAAATCACTGACCATTCACTTCCCGTGCTTGATGACGACAGCATGGCTCACCGTCACTTTATGTAGGCCCATCTGGACACAGTCCTATCATCCATTGCTGCCAATAGCTGTAAAGCACTCTCTTTGAGCGTGCGCTGATGCTCCAGCCACGAACCCGGAATGTGTCAGAGTAAAAGAAGTCCGCTTGCAAGGCAGAAGGCTTGGTTTCAATCGACTGTTACCAGCCGCAGACGTGATTGCCAACACTCTCTGGATTCCCAGCGAGGCCACTGAACTCCACATCTCTCAAAGATGATCTCGCCAACTGACCAAACCAAAACTGGCACAAAGCACGGGGCTATGAAACACTCAGACCCGGGAGGCGAGACGGTTCACGAGGCGCTCAACCAGAGCAATTCCTTGACATGCTCTAGTCTTTGGCCAATTTGTTTACATTCCTCGCAAGCTGAAGCCTAAATGACACGAAGGCAATATAGTTTATCGTCTGTTGCCATCACTGGTGGCTGCCAAGCAGATTGGAGCTAGCGCAGCTCGGCAGCGTTGATCTCCGTGCCATCACCAGTGCAACAAGAAACACCATCATTTTCAGCGCCCAGAGGCTCGCAATTGATTTAGGGCCCTCAAACAGCCAGGTTTTGAGACCCCCAAACACTTTCGGGGTGTCCGATGGAGGGTCGGGGCTTCCGTGGAAAGCCCCAGGAGCCTTTGGGTGGTCTCACTGACAGTTGCGAGCAGTGTTGCGCACGGATTTAGTCGCAATGCTGCTGCCTAAGTTCTACACAAACTGGAAACAAGCGAAGCTAAGCAAACGATGCTGTGGGTCAAGCACCGCGCTGTCACTCGACACTAGTGACACAAAAATGCGCGCAACAATCGTGGACCAAACACCCACCTGTCCAAAGACACAAAACTCTCCTTCCGCTGTTCCTTGCCTTTTCTCTTCTTCTTTTCGGAGGGTATCCTTCTTTAGTCCCCCGCTGCAGTTTCGTTTGGAACAAGCCCCCAACTCAACCCCCCGTCCTGGAGGAAGCTGACGCAAACCTCGATAGAGTCCTCCACGGAAAAAAGTCAGACGGCCCTGAGTGGCCACTCAGCCCTGCGTGACCCACGACAAGACTTTCTCACTTCATGTCAGGGGTTCGCTTGGCCACTCACAGCCTTGTTTGGGTCACTTCCCAACTGTTCTTTTAGCAGAAAACACGTTGGGGTGCCTTTCTGTGATCACAAAGTGCTTCATTCTCACGGTGACTCTTAGCTTTGTCACCAAAAACCGGGGAGGGGGTTCCATAACTTGGCGAGAACAGCAAGAATACCAGCACTCCCATAGGCGTCCTTTTGGAAAAATAGATGGGTTCCCCTGGTAAATGGAAACAAAACAAACACAAACAAAAAACATCTAAACCAGCGCCTTCGATTCTTGGCCACACTAACCTACAAAGGGACACCTATAGAAGGCGACCTTCCCCGAACCCCCGGCGGCCGCTTACTCGTGTCGTCCTCCGTCACGCGCTCCAGCAACAAGGTGGCCACATGCAACGCCAGCAGCTCCGAGCAGATCTGAGCAGAAAACGAGCAGAACCCTTCCACACAACGCGTCGATCTGACGTCCGGGGAAAACGGCCCCAAGCTTCGGCGTCTTTTGGTTTGGGTCGTGTTATGTTTGAGTCAGTTCTTTTGTGTGTTTAGTTTCTGTTGCATTTGTTTGTTTTGCCGGTTAAACGGAAAATGGATAACAATGGCCAGTGTGTCAAACAAAAGGAGCAGTTCCCCCCGATCAAAAACAAACACACACACACACACAAAAGTTAAAGGAGGGGTTTCTTTTGCTTCCGGAATGGGTGTCTGTTTGAGTTGGTACTCTTTTGCGGGAAAATGCAGAAGAAGCTTGGTTCATGGTTGTGTTTGTCTTGCTTGTATTGTTGATGTCCGAAATGACCTTGCGCTGATTTCCCTCTCCCCTTTTTTTTTGGCGGGGGGCTGAGTTGGTACTCTTTTTGGAGAAGGGACACAAACCATCCATGTTTGTGTGCTTGTTTTCGGAGGCAATTTTGACTCATACCCAAATGACGAAACAGAACCGAGAGACCACAACGAAAGCCAAGAGGACATTGGAACTTTGGGGTTGGTCTTCCCCTGGTTCCACGTGAGGGTCTTCCTGGGTGCTCTTGGTCCTTGCTGCACGGCAGAGAATGGAAAGAGAGAGGGATATCCTCTGTTTGCCCGTGGGCAAGCTGAGTAAGGAAGCCCACTTCGGAAACCTAGGCTCCTTCCCCCCGAAAGGTGCTGACCTTGGGGCATCTGATCCAAGGCTTCGGAGAACCGTTTTGGGGCCCTAACGTCCCCTCGAAAGGGATCAGAAAGCTTGTTTTGGGTGTCCTTGACCTCCATGTGCCATCAAAAGTCCCAAAATGTGTCCGAAGTCATGGCTTAGGAGCCCTTACTTGGGTGGTCGGCCCACTTACTAACTTGGCCGAACATCCAAGTGCCATTGTCGACATTCCACAAGGCTCCATCGCGCATCTGGGCGAAGTTGCCCTGCGCTCAGTCCCCGCCTTCTGGTTCACTAAGTGAACCATGAACTTGATTGCAGCGGTTGTGACGATCTTGTCATTCCTGGCGCCAACTATAGAGCTTCTCAAAATAGCCCCCCGCCTTTCTGGCTGGTATTTGAAGCGATAAACACATAGCAACTCATCACTTTTGGGCTCCAAACAAACCCATTCTCGCCATTCCCGCCCCCCCCCCCCTGCCACGCCCAAGGCCCCCAGTCTGGTCGCAAGCCCTGCCTCTTGTAGTCGCGACGGAACTGCAAAATCACTCGCCGAATGAGCAGATCGCCAACCTCCGGCCTGCGCAGCCGCGACCAAGGCTGATGGTCACTTGTGTGTCGCTTGGGGTGGTTTCCTTGCGGCGTCTTTCCAAAAAAACGCCAGAGCTGTGCTAAAATGATGGGCACCTAAAAAATTGGCATGGGAGGGAATGTGCATCACACTCCATGGCTTTAATGATAGGAATTAATACTGCAATACCACTTGATTTGCCATTATTTCCAGTGATGGAGGTTGCTAGTCTATCCACCAAGGAGGTCGCGGTGCTGACTGCGAGTGGTGCAATTCAATCTCTGCAAGAAATCTAAAAAGTAACGGGGGGAGGCGGCAACCCCCCCATGATGTTTGAAGAAGAGCTTATTCAAACAGGGTGGTGGTGATGCTGATGATGCGGGAAGCCAAATCCAAAAACCAATGAAAGGGTGCAAAAGCCAAAAAGCCTGGAGAGGAACTGGGAAAGCAGAGGATGCGGAAAGCCAAAGCCGCCAAAAGCCGCATAAACCAGCGAAAAGCCGCAAAAGCCAAAACGCCACCGGCCGAAGAGGAAAAGCCAAAGGGAAAACCGCTGCGCCATTTTGGGCTTCCCCCTACTGTGAACTACTTAAGAGACCCTGGTTTCTGATCATTCCCCTGTAAGTACCAACAAATCATGGTTTCAACCATGGTATCATTTCGTGGTGCGAAATGGATTTTGCAACCATCCACAACATTTTAAGACACACTCTACGTAGGCGTCCCGAGCGTTTTTTCTTCTTCCGACGCCCTTGGGGCCCTAGCAGCTTGGAGTTGATCACTGCCAGAAGCGCTGCAAAGACCTGAGTTGACGGTGCCTCTGAATCCATGGGTGTTCATAGCTGTCCTGTGGGGGAAATAGATGGCTCTGGTAGATGAGTAAACTGGTAAACCAGGAATCACCATCTATTATTTTGCCAAAACAACCAAAAAGGACACCTATGTGGGTGTTGCTCAACCCCGGCGCAGACACGGTGTTTGTGTCCGTTGATCTCTGAAAAAGAAAGTGAGCGGTGGCCAAAATCAGAAGGAGAAAAGGTCATACTGTGGGTGGACCAGTTGGGATGGACGAAACACTGTCAAAGCTGGGATAAACCACTGACCATCTGGTGCAGGAATTTGTCCATCCACAGTATGGGACGGGTATCCGCGCAAGTCGATGATTGAGGTGTCTAAGAACATTGCGAAGGCATTTTCGAGGGTTCTGATCTATGCACCAACTCCTGGTGGGTGTAGCCATCGTCTGCGAATTCTGCTTTCCAAGGCTTGAGAGGGATCGGTCCCCGGGGTTGAGCGCGGCCATAACTTAATCCCCCCCTCAAAAAAAAACACCAAGAAGAAGAAATGGCGGATCGCAACCCAGAAATAATAGGCGGCTCCAATGTATGGCCGTCTGGATTTGGGGCCAAAGTCTTTGGGCAGTTGTGGTGCCAATGGAACATCCCCCGAATCTGCGATACCAGAGTTGGAGATTGTCCAAAACTCAATGGGGGGAACCCAAATCTTAAAGGACCTGATCCAACCAGTGATGCCAAAGTGGTCGGTTCTCATCCCTGCTTTATCATTTGGAGGGAAACCGCTTGGCTCACAGAAAGCAGCAACATCTTTAGCTTAACCCCAGGGGTGGTTGATTGCTCCAAATGTAGTTTGAGGTTGGGCTCGGTCTTTTTTTTGAGGGAAGCTAAAGGAAAGTCAACCCCCCAAATGTCACCAGAAATTGTTCAAATGGTGGTTTCCTTTCAATACCTCTGGCAACTGGAGGCACTGGGTATGTCTCAAAGAACCCAGCCCTTTGCCTTTCATTTAGGGTTTAATTCCCCATTCTTTTCCACCGTCGTTCTGTTCAAAAACCAGCTGTTTCCCAGGGTTTTTGATGGTTTCCTGAAAAGAAGGATCCCTGGAAAGAATGGGGAAGCTTCCCCTAGACTAATTCCCCTTTAAACCGACCCACCAAAAACAGTACCTGGATGGCCACTTGCGAATCGCTATGTGCCCAGCAACTGTGACTGAATTTCAGGGCAACGCGTCCTTTTCGAAACTTGGGGATCCAGGCACTTCCAGCAAGTTGGCAAGCACGGGGTGATGTGGGTGGCTCAATTTCTTTTTTCGAGTTACCCCTTTTGAGGCTGGTTTCTATTGGAAAACCTGGGCGATCCAGGTACCCTCAAAATGGGCGATGGCACCAATCCCACTGAGACCAAGCGCATGGGTGAAGCCGGGCGAGGCCATCTGCGCTCTGATCAGCGCACCTCAGTGACCCAAACGCAACCGCGGAGCCCGGGTTTCATTTGGGCTTGGGTCAAAATACCAGAACCCTCAAAATTGTTGGGTTCCTTTTGGTTTTGCTTTGAAGCCACGCAAAACGAAGGTGCCCTACCCGCTAATTTTTCGGCCGCTCCGAAGACTCAATCCCAGGAATCGGCTCCGCTTCCTCAGGAAATCAACCACCGGGTATCTGGGTGTACCTTGATCAAATCGAGAAATGGAACCCTTCACACATCTCCGAGAGGCTTTGCGAGCCACCCTTGGGTTCTGAAAAAGGGAACCACACTCAGGTCAGCGCCCAGAGACACTACGAACATTGCAAAGAAGCTTCTGTAGATATAGGCTTTATTACCCCCACAATTTAACCAGGCACTACTCCCTCAACGTGGAAGCTCCCAAAAGGCCGCGAATCGAAGCCACTCAGCTCGGGACGCACGAGCAGGCCGCGGCCTCGCACCAGGTTCTCCTGGAACAGCTCCTGCATTCGAATGCCAAGGGCAAAAATCGGAGAGAAGTGGCTCCAAAATGGCTTGTTTACCCAAAATCGAATGTCTTGTGTGCTTTTGGCGTGTCTATCACTTTGGTTCAAAGGAAATCCAAAGGAAAATCACAAATTGTGGGGTCCCCCCAATTGACGCATACGAACCAGCCAATCTGTCCATTTCGAGGTACCTGAATCAGCATGGGAACTCCCAACTCATCCAGGTGGTTGTCTTTTTTCGGCGCCCTCAAAATGGTGGCGTTCCTTTTGGTTTCCCCTTAAACCACAAAAAGGGGTCTCAACACAAAGACACCCAGGTGAAATCTGGAAACCTGTGGGCATTCCCACCCTTTGGCTGATTTGCTTCGGGGGAATATCTTCCAACGGAAGAAGAAGCTCATCCCTTTGGCCCCCCCTTGTGAAACCATGGTCATATTGAACCCGGAATCAACTCAGATCAGGTCTCAAAATCGGGGACCCATGACACTGGGCTCTATATTGACTGCCACCCAGTCCTCCACTATGTTCTTGATATTGCCAACCTCGGATCAAGAGAGTTCGGTCCGACCCAGAGCAACCTGGCTTCTCGACATCAATCAATGCCGAACCTGGCAGAAAATTGGGCTTAGCACCCGATGTGCAATCTGCGCGCATACAGTCTGCCATCCTCCCCGAACGCAGAGCTTCAAGACAAACGTGGTGAGACACACACACACACACACACACACACACACACACACACACACACACACACACACACACACACACACACACACACACACACACACACACACGCGCGCGCGCGCGCGCGCCGCATGCTACCCAAGGCGCGTTGACTTTGTTCACCAAGCCGTTGATACTTTTTCTGAGGGCCTGAGGAGACAGCTTCCATTTGGCAAACAATACTGTGTCTCTCGCTTGGAACTTGGGGCGTGCGTGCAACGTGCCTCCCAGGTTTGCCTCTGGTACTCCGCGCTGGTCTTATCCTCGATCTCCTTCTGCATTCGCGCCAGCCTGAGACCAATGTTTTCATGCGATCGGGCTTGGCCCCAAGGAACTCCAAACACTCACCACCCATTTGAGGGGAGAGACACACCCCATTTGTTTGCTCAAAACATGTGAAGCCCTTTTCCAGCCGTGTCAAGCCAAGATTCTTGAAGGGAGGAACATATACCTGGGCGAGTGAGCTCGAGCATCATCGCGGACTGATCATGACAGACTTCAAGCTTGGCGATAGAAACTTCATGACTCGCCTCATTGCAGCAAAGCGACACCACCGCTTCTGCCCAAGTTCTCCAAGTCCGCAATTTTCCGCTTCCTTAAAGTGGCTCTGTTGATGGTCAACCGCTGTCCACTCAAGCTAATCTTAGGCGTTGGTTGAAAACGTAGACTCTTGGCTTCCAACACGCACACATCCAATCAACACAAATCGGGAACCCTGGAGGCATGCACACTCATCGAGGCACTTGTAGCTTTCAATGTCTTCTTCTTGCTTTGCCTGACCAAGAGCGCACTGCACTTTCCTCTTGCCACCGTTCATTTCATGTTGGAGTGCAGGCATGTCAAAACCATCCGGGAACTGGAGGAATGTCATCCGCGATTCCGGGCACTATGCAGTTCTGTTGGGGTATATATAACACGTGGATGGGGGCTAACCAACGCAGTAGTGAGAGAACAAATCTTGCCTTTGGGGGGCAAGAGTTCTTCTGCAAACCCCTGCCGCAGTTCGGGCAACGCTGGCCTCCTTGCTTGCCATGGCAGGCAACGATTCTCTTCTATGCACGTGAAAGTTTCCCGTCTCAGCGCATAGGCGATCCAATGCGGGGTGATGTTGTCTTCATAGCTTGGAGGCAAACTGCTTTGCTTGGGTATCATGGTGCAAGTACATTGGTTTCTAGTGTATCTTGAAACCAACCATAGTGACAGCCATGTGCTTCTACGCTGCGGACGGCGAAGCTTCTCCTCATACCCACTCATACCGCCCACATATCTGCAAGTTCTGTCAGGACTGAAGCAACGGCCTGCCAGGAATGTTGAAATTTCAAAATGCCGCGAGTCAAACGAGGCGCATGGGGTCTGTGCAAGGCCTTCGGCATTCGCACATCTATCTGTGAAACCAGGCTGCCATCGCACCCAAAACGTGTGAACGATGCACGCATTCAAAATATGCTCTTTGGCATCGGGGTGTGGGTCTCAAAACAGGGGCGACCCCCCAAAATGTGTGGCTTGCTTCAAAAAACCACCCAAAGGAAGGTGCCCTGCAAAACGACACACCCATGTTCTGAGGATCAGGTCCTACGTTCGGCATACCTCACCAGGGCTCCGTCTCCAGGAGGCACTTCCTGCAGAGCACTTGCACACCCCTCCCTCCAATCGGGTGTCTTTGTGTCAGGGTCCCCGATGCTGGTTTAGAGGGACACAAAAGGAACCCCTATTTTGAGACAAACCCATATTTAGCTAAAGCCAGAAGGGGAGCCATGGTTATGGCCCTGGTGCTCAATAGCCCCAAGTCACTAGGCTATGGCTCCCTTGTTCCCGCGAATCCTGGCTTTGTCTCAAGCTTTGGGGACTTCCAACAAGTTTGGAGCCATCCTTTTTCTGACCCCTTCCATCCTTCTTGTTTGACTCTTTGACCCCCTGGCTCCTTCGACCCTTGCGGCTTCCCTTTACGGAAATCCCAGCCCAAGGCCGTCCCCGCCTTTGCGGCCCTCCCAGCTTGGCGCGGCGTCGCAGGCGCGCCTTCGAGACTTCTGAGGCTCGGTGCTCTGGAACGAGACTTTCGGGTGGTGGCAAGGAACCCAGTTGCTCCATTCCGCTGGTGCCCAGACAGCCTGGAAAAATTGACAGAACCCAGTTGCTTCGGTTTTTTGTAGGAAGCCAGTTGGAGGGCTTTTCCGGTCAGTCCATTTCTCACGGACTTCCGAGTGATACCATCTTTGGGACTACCGTGGTACAAAAGCTTGGTACCAGTTTTCAGGCTGGTTTAAAGGGAAAACAACACGCCAACCAGCATTTTGGGGTCCGGATATGGCCAGACTTAGACCCTTGCAACAGTTCTCACTTTTTGCTAGCTGAAAGGGAACATGAAGGAAAGCCAGAATGGCAAAAGAGCGAGGGCTGGGTGACCCGTTGAATGGGTTCCAACAAACGGGTTCCGACATCGGAGGTGGGCCAAGTGAATGAGGGCCCCCGGTTTGGCTGGCCGAGAGAGCAACTACGCGAAAGACACCCAGTTCGTTTGGGGTATTTTGAGATAAAGCCATACCCGCGAGCGCCTGAAAGACAAGCAACATGTGGTTTCGACATTGTTGAGGTTACGTAGACCTTGCGCAAGGTGAGCACAATCCACTTCGCACCACTGGGACTTCAGCCTTTCAGCAATTCTTATTCCGGTGCCAAAGCCCTCAACTGGGCTAGGACCTCCGAACCACCTAAAAATGGGCGGGTCAAGATGGGGGGTAGCCCAAACTGGTGGATTCCCCGTCTTTAACCGCCCCTTAAATTACCAACCCAACCCCCCTGACCCCCCAATGTTGACATCTCTCGGACTCGATCCGGGCACCCCAGGCCTCCTGTTGCCGGTTCTGCTTTCGCAGCGTGGAAGGGGAGGAGTCGATCTTCTGGCCGGCGGATCCAATTCGAGCGGATGAGCAGCGAAAAATTCGCGAGACCGCCCCCCGGCGTCTCGCGCTTCCGCAACTCCGAGGCCCTGGCCGAGGCGTCCTTCACGTCTCCAAAGGTTTCGAAGGGCAGCAGAGGCCGATGTTGTTTGTCGAAGGGCCGCCTGGGGGGTTGCGGGGGGGCGTTGCGGGGGGGGGGGGGGGTTGGGGCCGATTGGAGGAGGGACCTATGGACCTTTTGTTTCCAAGGGCCATTGTTTAAACAACAGGGGTGGGCAAAAGCCCATACATTGCTTTCAGGCCGATTCAAGCCTTGTTTGATTTCCTGGAAACACAGCGCCTGCCAAAACTTTTTTGGACAAGCCCCCCCCCTCCCCCCCCTCGCCATTTTTGCCGCGCCTGTATCGCGCTGGTGGGGTCCAGTAGTCGTGCCAGGCCACAACCTCCCCAGTGAGCAGATCGTGCATCGAGCCGCCAGGGCTGTGGCGCTGCGGCAGCGTCATGGGAGTCCCTCCTTCCGTGGAGAGCTGCTTCGGGAAGAGTTTGCTGCAAGGAGCCGTCGAGGGCTTCTTGTCCAGCGCCTGACCCATCAGTGACGTTCGAAGCCGCCACAAAATTGGGGACTTGGACCCCCAAATGGCGGGTGTTTTCTGGCGGCTTCCCGCTAAAGCCCGAATCCCAATGGGAGACACGCCTGGATACCTCACTGCCCGCTTCGGCCTCCAGGTGGTTTCGGAAGGTGCGGCCGTGGGCCTCCCAGAAGCGGCGCAGCTCCGGCATCGACTGCTGCCGCGAGAAGTACTCGCCTCGCAAGCCGCGAGCCGCGAGCCGCGAGCCGCCAACGCGCGTGGCGCCAGACGCATTGAGACAAGGATCCCGGGCGAAAGCCAAAGTCCTTTCCGCGACAAGTTCCCCAAAAGCAACATATATATATATATATATTGCCAGCAATGATAGATGCCCTTGACAAAACTATACATGGGAGAAAACAAATCGTATGTCTAAGCAAAAGGAAGTAGAACTTAAACACTGTTGGTGAAACAAGCAAAGCTTAAAGGAGGCTTAGAAACTTGGTTTGGGATCAGCTTGGAGGGATATCCCGCTGGCTTCTGGCCCCAAACCACTACCGCCAGGGATTAATGGGATATAGATCATATAGCTGCTCATCAAGATCCTGGGGGCGGTTTCCAAGTCACGCAGCCCCGCCGGGCGTGAGTCGTTCACGTGGCCCGGGTTCACCTAGGCGACGGGCGAAAGTTTTGGTGGGGGATGCCTCGACCCATGGCTCGGGTGGTTTTCAACATCACCTCTTTGGCCTCCCTCAGCAGAGGATAGCAGAGGTGATGTTTCTAGGCGAATATTTGGCACCCTGAGCATTTTTATCACATGTGTAAGGATACCCCTTTCACCTTGTTTTTAGCGCAAAGGGGTCCCCTGTTTTGACACATGCCCATTCTGTGCATGGAAGATAAACCCCTTACAACTGGCGCAGGATTCTGTCCGTTCGCAACCCATCCAGAAAGTGGCACAAGGCTGGATTTGAATCAGCATGTGACAGTAGTTCGACCCTCTGGTGGACATCATTTACATGCCGAGGGTCATGGAAACTCATTGCCACGCCGATGTCAATTGTGGATACTACTGGCCCTGCATCAAACTTACCACTGGCTGATAAAGGCAAGTACCCGTTTCCGGCTTTGAAACCCCCCAGGAACAGTTCAAGCAGTGACCCCGGTACGGCTGCCTGGTCCGAAAAGCGCTTCCCTGCAACGTCAAAGGGGCCTTAATTTTCGTCGAGGCGCGGAGATGTTGAAGCGCTGATTCCACTTGGGAAATTCCGTGCCGGAGAGGTCCACCGAGAATGAGCCAGGGCTGCTGGGGCTCGGTGCAGTCTTGGGCCTGAGCGCTCAACTTGGAACTTCCTGGGTTTGGAGGCATGGGACTCTTTCATTTTAGGGAACCCCCGTTTTGGTTGGTTCTAAGAAGAAACCAACGGGGAAAATCGTCAATTTGAGGCCCCCCCGAAAAAAGACACGCCCTTTTGCAAAGAGGTTGACTACCATCGGTTGGAAGCTCCTCGATCCCTTGCCGAAGGCTCCAAGCTTGGGTGCAGAGTCTGCAGATCCAACTCGGAAGGTCCAAGTGTCCCACCCATTTTGAGGGAATCCAAGCCCGCAAGGGTAGACAGATACCCCAGGGTTGAACCATCAACAGAATGATTGACCCAAGTTCGAAGATGGACATCTTAGGTGAACGATACCAGTAGCGATTATATGGGTGTGACCTTCTTCTTGAGGGGAATCCCCAAAAAGGGTGGTTTTCCTTTCGTGTCCCTTTCAAGGCACCAAAAAAAATCGGGGGGGGGGGGGGGGGGGCCACAAAAGGCACGGCCAGAACCGGTGGTCTGGGAACCGAGTGGCGTCTTGGGCGCAGCGCTGTGCGCTTGACACTCCGGCGCCTGTTGCCGGATGGCCGGCTCCTCGAAAGAAGGTGATCACCTTTTGGGGCCAAGAACAGGAACCGAAAAGGTGAAAAGGTGAGAGAGGAGACTGAAGAGGCAACAGAAAGAGGAAAAGAGGAAGGTGAAAAGGACAGACAGAGGAAGCCAAAAGGTGAGAAGGGCGGAGTTGGCCCGGTTTTGGGGCAAGTGAGCCAATCTGTGATACTAAAATGGGTGTGTGTTGTTCTCAAACTCTTTGGGGGTGGCACGGATGTGTCCCCAACCCAAATGGGGGCCTTCTTTGGGAGCACCTCACAAATGGCGGTTCTCCTTTTGGGTTCCCTTTAAACCCACACACAGCAGGATCGCCAGTTGCTGGTTTTTCCCAGCTGAGACTGAAGCGTCTGGAACAAAACAGCAACCTTTGCGATCCAGGACACCCTAATGGGTGCTTCTGCAAACAGGACTGGGTTCTTAAAACAGTTCTTGTCCTTTTCGATTCCCTTGTTCGAAAAGGAGGTCTACCAATTTGAGAAACACTCTGGAGGATCCTACCTGGATATGCGTCAAAATCGAGGGACTGTGGCTTCCTTTTGGCTTCCCGTACCGGCACAGGGCGCCAACTCAAAAGGGCGTGTCCTTTTCTTCAGGGGCCCAAAAGTGTTTCGTGTCCTGTTGGATTCCCTTTTAAACCAACCAAAAAGGGCACCCTCAACAAAGACACACACACACACACCATGACGAGTTCGAATCGGGTTGTGGCTCACAGAATCTGGCAACCCGTCACTCCGCATGCACGTTTCCCATGTCCTCGCTGGTCTGCAGCCAACGGATGTAGCTACGCTGGTCCACGTACTCGGTGGGATTCTCCCCGTTCGGCGACACCAGGCGGTCCCATTCCCGTTCCTTGCTGGGGCTCTGCTGAAACACTCGTTTTTCACAACCGTGTTCCAACAAGCCTGCTTTAGCAACCAAGTTTAAAGCTTGAACAAAGGTGAGCTGCAATTGTGTTGACGTATTACAATCATGTTGACGTCTTAGACAACCCTGGTTCAGCAACCCGCACTGCCCGTTCATATCCAAAACCAAGGAAATCCCCGGTTCAGGCTGCATTTCTTTGGAGCGGCTGTCCGAAACGCATTGTGGACTTCCCACTGAGCACCAGCCAGGTGTTTGGCCAAAACAGGTTCTTGTGGGGTTCATTCCTGAGAACCCGTGTCCAACCAAATTGCAAAGCGGTTGGTCCAACTGACTGGTTGGCCATGTTCCTCGTTTTTTGCGGTTTCACTCCCTTCACCGCTTCACCCAACCCTTTTGTGAAAAGTTGCTCCAAGGGAAGGCCAAGAACACCCCAAGAGAATTCAAACAGAAACAGAAAAAAAAACAGAAGCTTTCGCAAGACCCTACTCAACCCCTCTCTCAATTTGTAGGTTCATTCCCCAAATTTCCCCCAAAGCCTGGATCCCTGGGCACCCGGGTGCTTGGACATTTCATGCTTTGGTCAGGTTCATTCCCACCCGATAGTCTGTTGACGGGAATTGGAGGATTCATTCCCAAAAGATCGCAGGAAATGAACCAAGGAATAGTTCCATTCCATTCAGCACTCATGTCTGCCAATTCAGGCTTTATTCCCTGAGCAACAACATAAGATCCGGTGAACACCAACAAGCTAGACCCAACCCACCCGCTTGTTCCCCCCAGCTCCTTTCCCGGTCACCGGCTCCCCTCCCCCGAGCCGTGCGACTCCCCTCCCCCGTCGTCCGAGTCCTTTTCGAGGCTCGAATTCCTGGAAGGTGGGGCTGCGGCCCAGCAGGAAGCGGAACAGCTCCCGGAACTCCTCGCGGCCCACGCAGCGGTTGTTGTCCAAGTCGAACAAGGCAAACCTCCGGCCGGAACCGAGTCCATCGAGCCACGGTTCAAACTTCCTGGGACTAAAATGGTCCAGAAGACCAGGAAAAGAAAGAAGAAGGCAGAGATCCGAAGCTATGGTTGGGATTGTCCCTTTCTAACCTTCATCTGCCGGGTTTTGATGGTGGCTCAATCGGGGCGGGGGCGTTGGGCGGAGGGGGGCGGTGGACATTTGAGGATTCATGTCCACCGTTTGCGAGGTGGGGCTGCCAAGCCTGCTTTAGGGGCACCCGATCTTGATTCCCTGCAAACTACCCAACTTCTTTGTGGATTTCTGGCTAGGCGAAAAGGCCATGGACCAAACCCAAGCCAAAAAACTAATCCAACTTGCCCTATTCCAAAAATTGTCTAGGAAAATGATATGGGTGGCTCGTCACTCTCAAGGTCGGAGCCTCCACATCATGCTGGCTTTCCTTTTGGTGTCCTCTAAAAAACACGAGAAAGGTTCCAAGAAAAACACCTCTGCGCTCCTTTTAGCACCACCTCTTTAAAATCGGCGACATCAACGGGCAACTCGGAGAAGCGAAGCAAAACCTGGACTAGGAGCACCAGGTTCGCGGAGTACCGCGCGAAGCGCGGCTCCCTGAGGCACCGCATGAGGCTCCGGAACCTCAGCTGGAATGGCCATGGGGCCATGAAACTGGGGCCATGAGTTTTTGTTTTTTTACTGGTCAAAAGAAACCTCGGCTGAAAGGGCAAGAGAAGAAATGGCCGATCGTCTTCTGGGGCCACGAATGGGAGCCAAGGAGGGGAAGCCCAGGTGAAAATGGAAAAGGTCGCTGAGAAACTCCTTCCAGGAGAGCTTCGCGTCCTTGTTGTTGTCCGCCTTACGAAGGCAAAGCTCGATGGCTCCGTCCACGTTCACCATGGTCCTGCACAAAGAAACTCGAGCATTCCTCAGGCGGTAGGGGGGTGACATGTGTGCGTGTATCAACAAGCACCAGGGCTTCAGATCCCCAGTTTCAACCAAATCCACCAACTAGGGCTGATGACCTGATCTATCGCCAAACAAATTCGGGCTGCGAGCTCGGAGACCTTGCGATCGGAAAACGTTCAGAAGCTGAACGGGGTCTGAGCTGATGGCTCTGGCTGGAAGCCCTGAAGCTATCTCCAAGTCCAAACAAACTCAGGCCCTACTTTGCCGCAACCACAAAAAAAAAGGCACACAGGACAGGGATGGCGCCATCTCTTGTCATTCAGGAAAATGCCCGTCGCTCGCATGGGAACCAACTTTTTCCACAAGGGTGGGAAGGGTGGGAACTCACTGCCAAGTTGCAGATAACTTCTCAGGCGGCAACCGAAACCCCTGATAGGCTAGGCGTCCCCTTTTGAGGTGTATCACTCCAGCACCCACCCACCCACCCACCCACCCCCACACCCACCCGCCCACCGAATAGCACGGCTTCTACTTGGACATTTACACAGCGGGAGTCTCCGGTCCTGGTATAGCTGGCCCCCCCGGTGCTGCCGGTGGACGGCGCCACAGCCGCGCGGATCACGTTGTGGAACTCCTCCGGAGCACACAAAGACCCCAGGAAACGGAGACACAAATTGCCCATCCTGCCGGCATCCTCCCCCCCGAAAAAAGAAAAAAGAAAAACTGCTTTTCAACCATGTCCAAAATCCCAGGCACTGCCCAGAAAGCAGCGGTTGAGATGGTTGCTTGAGAGGGGAGTGCTGGTGGTGGTTGGCTTTGTCAGTCGACGGTCGACGTTGTCTCGCTTGAAACCAATCCACGGGATTCCACGTAGCAAGGCTTGGGTAAGAACCAGACACCGGACTCCATCCAGAGGTGTTGTCCTCTCGATGTGGGGAGTGGCTTCTCTGTTTGTCCACTTACAATGGCGCCAAACAAAGACATGCCTATGCCAACGGTTCACCTTGAAGGGTAATGCTGCAACATTTTCCACCAGCGGCTGGAAAGTGAAAGAGACCTTTTGAAGCAAATCCTCTTTCACAAGGTACATCCATAAACCACCTGCTTTACAAGGAATCGGATCCTCTACATCAGCTGGTATTTGGGTGATTTGTTCACTGGAGTCATTCCCGTCACCAGACCACAGGCTAGGTCTTGTTCAAAAAACAAATAAAAATATGTTCTCAAAGACGAATGGTCTTTTCATAGACCACGGTGGATCAACCTGTCCAACGCATCTGGCTGCTTGGAATAGACGACCCCGCCCCCGGGCCTTTTCACTATTTCAAAGGGAGACCAAAAGGAAACCAACCACCTTTACGAGAAACACCCATCTCAGGGTTCCCAATATTTCGAAGCCCTTAAACTATCACCCCTACCAAGGCCAACTAACCCTTGGGTCAAAGAGGTGATGCTAAAGACCAAAGATAGACAAACCAAACCTCACCCTTCGGCAAATTCTCCTCGCAGTCCAACTCCTTCCGCGTCACGAAGCCATTTTTGTCCCGGTCGAGGCGACGCCAGAGCCGTGCCGCCCATTGGTCCTGAGGCGAATCGCAGCCCTTGGGCTGCGGTTCTTCTTCCCGCGGCCAGGTGGCCATGGGTCAAAATCCCGGTTAGCCCCAGTGAACGTCCCAATCCCCAGTAGAACAGACTAAAATGGGTGGTGAATTCACCTACCCCAAAATGGTACCATTGGTTTTGACCCACAGCCAGGTTGAGCTCTGACGACAGGCACGGTAACCGCGGGTTACACCAGAGCGGTCGAACAATTACACTGACTGGCTTCCCGACATGGAAACAGCGAGTCCTCCGGTTAGGAAATGGAGGGCTATGTTGTTCACACATTGAGTGATCTGTGCTTGACCTACGATAGGCACAGTTAGAAAACCATGGGCTTAAACACCCTTTGTTTAGACAACCTCCTTCTTCCCCCCCCTCTGGTCGCTCAATGACTTCAGGGTGGGGTTTCTTCTCTCCTGACTGACAGGCGGGTTCGCTTTTGCCTGGGGTGAGAAACCTAGGGAAGCTTCTCCACATGTCTTGCGAGGTTGGCATTGAGAAACCACGAGGTGATTCTTGGTGAACAATAAACACGTGCCACCGTGTGGGTAATTACTTGGGATGCATTTCGGCCGGGCCCAACCCACCCCGTCCGCCGGCTCGCCGCTCGGCTCCGGAAGCGCCCTGCTGCGGCTGCGGCCCTCGGACAAGCGCCGCTCCGAGTGGCGGAAGGTGTCCAACTCTACGGCGTCCATCCCATCCGCTCGCCGGAGACGGGGGGAGACGGGAGAGGGGAGAGGGCTGGGGATGAACAAACCCGAGCTTGACACATGAAAACCCACCAAACTGTTTAAACCACCTTTTGCTGACGCGGGTCAGGATGGGAATTCGGGGGGATGGGGGCTGGGGATGTGGAGGCTGCGTATGGCTGCGTGATGTGCTGAGTTCGGGGCTCCGTGTTGAGCTCAAAACTGAACAACTGTATTCTGCCCAGTTCCTGTGGCAGCGGTCCAATAACCTGCCAGACGCAAACCAAGGCTCGATCTGCATTGGGTGAGACTCTACAGCCTTGACAGAAACGGCGCAGGGTCAACGACTCCAGAAACTCCACGGTCTGAACTGAGTAGATTGGCCAAAAAGGTCTGAACTTGTTTACTTCTGAAGTGGACTGCCCGAACAGCATAAAGTGCAGGAACGCGGGAAGTGAGGAAATGCACGAAGAGCAGTCTCCAAGCTCCATTTTCCAAGCGAAGGCTGTGGCCAGCAAATCGTTGCTGGATGACTGCAGGTCCCGTAGCAAATCCTCGCAGGCATGCAACAACTACTGTGGATGGGCCAAATCTCAAAAAAGCGCGGCTGAAACACACCAAGCCCTATGAATGCTGGGGGAAAAATGTGCTCAGCTAAAATGACCTACTAACTGGTGCAGGATGGATCCGCGGCTTCTGAGGCCTTTTGCCTCCGGGTCCTGCAGAGCCATGCCTGGGGATCCACATGGGTCGCAGCAAGCTGAGCAGGCGCCACGAGTCTTCAGCTCATGGTGTGGTTTGGGGAGCCCCGATTCGTTTTGCTTCAAATAGAAGACAAAAGAAAGCTATGTATATATATATATATGTATATATATATATATATATATGTGTCTGCCATGAAAGGCTCCCGACTTTTGAGACAAACTCCGGCGACTTTTGAGACTTTCTCCGCGGTTTGCTCGGGCCGCCCAGCTGCGCTGTTCCAGCGAGCAGCCGCTTCGCTGACTCTGGCTGGGGCTAAGGTATTCTCCAGAGATAGCTTCACAACGCGGAAGGGCCCTGTGGATGGACAAAATCCGCTTCACACCAGCCGCTTCACACCAGCTGGTAGGTGGTTTCTCCCAGTCATGGGGTTTCATCCACAACTGTCGCGTGGATTTGTCATCACGTGTGGGTTCGGGCCCTCTAATTTGAGGGCGTTTCGGCTTGACTCCTGGCTTCGGCGGCTAGTTCTGCATGTGGATGTCCGGATCCCATCCTGATTTGCCCGGACCCGGAAATATAAAAGGTGATCACCTTTTGAGGCTCAGGTCCACTCACCTGGAACCCAAAGGATAAATAGTCCAAAGGACCCAGCCAGGTTCCATGGCGGGAGGGTAAAAAGCCAAAGGGTCGATTCGGGGGTGTCTTTTTTGCCGCACCCTTAGGGTTGCCTAGGGGATCTTGCTTAGGAAACCATTTGTGAGAAATTGTCCCCCCCCAAAAAAGAAAAGAAACATCAACACACTCATGTTGAAAGCACCATCGGGTTGGCTCCGGGGATTGGTTTTCGTCTGGGTCAAGAGGGTCGAGCCCCCGTTTCTTGAGGGTTCCGAGCGTCTGAAGCCGAGGCCGCCGGCCACGAAGACGCCCTGACCTCTGTCCGCCTTCTCCAGCAGCTGCTGGGTGGCCACAGCCGGCAGACCGAACGGCGGCAGGAACTCCCGCGGCGACTTCACCGTGGTCCTGGCAGAAATCAACGCGGGTGACACAGCCCATGAAAACACGGGGACGCCAGGGGTAACCGAGGGTAGGGGAAACCAGGAGAGGTGAAGACAGGTGGGAAACCACGTTTGAAAGGGTCTTGTTGGGCCCTGTTCTTCAGCTGACACGTGCCACGGTCAGCATGACCAAGAGGACATGGGACATTGAGTGGGTGTGGCGAATGAATGAGCCCCATTTTGTTCAGTTGGTTTTGGTGAGTGTGCCTGTCAAACCCCTTACCGCAGATGCTAAATATGGCTCTGTCTCAAAAAAAAAGGGGAACCCCAAAATCATTGGTTGTCCTTTTGGTTTTCCTTTAAAACGGCCCAAGAAAGGGACGCCCATATATTGACTCCTGTGAAGTATGCGTAGGCCCTGCTTCCTCTGGTCCAAGTGAGCTTCCGGCGCCGCGCGGTGCGCAATCGCCAAGTTGTCAATGAAGATGCAGTCGCCCTCGTGGTAGGGGTAGCTGATGCCGTAGCCTCTGGTTCAAAATGGGCGCGGATTCACAAAAGGGGGGTTGCTCAAAATGGGTTCACACGGAGGTTCGCCCAGGTCTGACCTATCGCCATTTACAGGGGATTCGCTAAACGGGGGTTGCCGAAGCAGCGGATTCAATCGGATCTTCGGATCAGAAGATCTAGAAAGCCAAGAAACCAACAGGTCCAATCCCAAGGCAGGGATTCAGGATGGGGTCTGTCTTTGTGGGTGCCCCCTTTAGGTGGCTTTTTTTAAAGGGAACCAAGAGCAACACCACCAGAAGGTCCCCTAACACCAGGCAGACCAACCTTCCTCTGAAGCCAAGCAGCCCTTCTCAGAGCCGGCATTCAGAAGGGCGTTGTAGCTGCGGAACACGTCCAGCAGCTCCTGCTCCTCCAAAAGTCGGAAGCCTTCGCCAGACTTCTCCAGGATGCCACCGGTCATGCCCAGGTGCAAATACACCGAGCGCCTTCCAGAGATGGGGTGATCATGGACCATGGGATGCAACACCCCGCTGGTGGCATTGACGGACACCAGCCGCGACCAGTACTCTTGCTTCTCCTTGGGCAGTGAGTCAAAGGCTGCACCTTGGTGGACGAATTGGGTGTCGCCCCCATGCTCCGGCACTCGGATGATGTGGTACCCGACATGGGAGAACACGGCGACTTCAAAGGACCCGTCATTGTGCCACTGGGGCCCCACCCCTGTGATGCCCACCGAGGGGTCGTTGCTCAAGCGGAAGATGTGGCGGTTGGGAGCCTTGGGATATGGGAAAATCATGTCTTGTGATACCAAAGTGGACCATCCTTGTGACTGTGTCACATTGCAGCTCTCAGCCCCTCACAGAAAACGCGCCACGAAAACCCATTTTTTCGGGGGGTGTCCTCCTTCAGGGGACCCCGACATGATTTATGTTGTCCTTTTGGTTTTCCCTTAAAGCCACCGACAAAATCCCACAATCTCACGCCTTGGGATGAACTCCGTGGGTGCTGTGCATCTCACGTGCGCCCCAGAGCTTGCTAGCGTGCACTTGCTCGTCCCCACTCAGCACGCCCTGGTCCCCAAAGACCAGGAAGCCCCGGTTTGCCATCTCCTGGTGGAATTCCCGGCTCTCTTGCTGGTTGGTTTAAAGGTATTTGCCTCTTCTTTTCGGGAAAAACACAAGTTGGATATGAAAAGCAGGAGTGGATCGCATCTTGCGATTCTCCCTTTCCTGCTCCAAAATGTTCAGCACCTCCTCCGGCGGCGTTGTCCGGAGATCCAGGCCAGTGACTCTGGCGCCCAGCGGTTCGATGGGCGCGATGCTAATCCCGTGCTTCGCCAGCGCGGACGCCGCTGCCACCGCGGGCACCAGGCCGGGCGTTCCATTTGTCGCGCACGCCATGGCCGACGCACCGCGCGAGCTTTGCCGCGGTGTCGGCGTTCGGCTGCGAGAGAGGGCGACAGCGCAGGCCGAGGTTCCGGAGAAACCGAAGCTCCGGAGGAGCCGAGGTCGGCGCGAGCTGACCTTCACAGACCACCCAAGTTCCAAGCGGGCCCCTCGCGTCCACATGCAAGGGCTTGCCATGAAACTTCGAGCAGCAACAGCTTGAAATACGAGCAAACCCCCACTTACTCAAATACAAGCCAAAATCCCCAGGACACCTTATTATTTTGCCTTTATTCTAATTTGCCAAAAGTGTGCTGTCATGTTGGCCTTGCTCGTATTAGTGCTTTAGTGCAAGTTCGCGGTCACAATTCACCCTGTTCTGGCGCTTGCTCTCTGCCTGTCTGTTGTGCAAACTATGAAATGTGTTTGATGTGTTGAACTCAGAACGGCGACTTAAACGCTTGGTCGTTGGCTGGCATCTCGAATCTTGGTGAACATGTCTCCAGTATCCCAAACTTTGAAGTCAGCTTCCCTATTTGCCCTTGCCTTGGGCTTGCGTGCTGTGCTTGCAGAGTTCTGCATGTGCGGCTCATTTGGCCAATAACCCTTGAACCTGTGCCTACAGCCTTCCCGTTCAGGCCAAAGATCTGGGTCATGTCAACACTTACAGGAAGCTCGCGGAACTGAATCGAATCGGCTGGCGCGAATCGAGCCGAACCGGAACCGGCGCGAACCGGCCGCGCGATTCCTGGATACGAATCGACACCAAGTACGCCAACCCGGCAAAACGAAACGAAACGAATCGGCTAATTGGCGGTTTCCGAACCGAATGGAATCGAAACGGGCCGGTTCGAGGGCAGAGCTGGCAAAGAGAACAGGCAAACAAGCCGGGATGCGGCTGGAGGAAGGAAGTCTAAGAGATTGCATGGGTAGACAGGTTAAGGTCCAAAGGTTGAAAGGTAAAAGGTTTGTCCAGAAAACCTCTCAAGGTTGCACCCCGAAGGTTGGAGCTAGGCACAGAGCTTAGAGCCCAAAGGTTGGAGGCCAGAGCTTGGAGCACAAAGGTTGGAGCCCAGAGCTTGGAGCTCAAAGGTTGGAGGCCAGAGCTTGGAGCTCAAAGGCCAGAGCTTGGAGCTCAAAGGTTGGAGCCCAGAGCTTGGAGCCCAAAAGTTGGAGCCCAGAGCTTGGAGCCCAAAGGTTGGAGCCCAGAGCTTGGAGCTCAAAGGATGGAGGCCAGAGCTTGGAGCTCAAAGGTTGGAGCCCAGAGCTTGGAGCTCAAAGGTCGGAGGCCAGAGTCCAAAGGTTGGAGGGAGCCCAAAGGTTGGAGCTAGAGCTTGGAGCCCAGAGCTTGGAGCTCAAAGGTTGGAGTTGGAGCCCAAAGGTTGCAGGCCAGAGCTTGGAGCACAACAGTTAGAGGGGCCTTTGAGACAAGCATATGACTACTGGCAGGATCAACCAGGATTTGCCAGTGGGCGCAGGAAAGCTTTGGCAAAGGGATAAGGCTGGAAGGGCGGCCCTGGAAAGGTTGGAACATGTGGAGTGGGCCCCCAAAAGGTTGGAGGAGATGGTCTAAGAGAAGACTGGAAGGGCGGCCCTGGAAAGGTTGGAACATGTGGAGCGGCCCCCCCAAAAAGGTTGGACAGGCGGCCTGCTGCCTGGTTGAAGGATGAAGGGCGGCTCAGTGAAGGCTGGAAGGGCGGCCCCCAAAGGTTGGAGGAGAAGCCCCCACAAAGGTGGCGGCCTGCAAGGTTGGAAGACGGAGGCGGTTGAAGGGCGGCCCTGGAAAGGTTGGAGCATGCCCCCACAAAGGTTGGACGGGCGGCCTGCTGCCGTTGGAGGGACAAAGGTTGGAAGACGGAGGTGTGGAGTGGCCTTTCACAAAGGCTCGGCCTGTTGGAAGACGGAGGCGCTCAGAGAAGGCTGGAAAGGCGGCCCTGAAAGCTTAGAACATGTGGAGTGGTCCGCAGAGGGATGGAAGACGGAGGCGGCCCCAACGGGCGGCCTGCCTGGTTGGAGGGACAAAGGTTGGACGGGCGGCCTGCTGCCTGGTTGGACGAAGGTTGGAAGACCGGCTCAGTCAAGGCTGGAAGGGCGGGGCTGAACATGCGGAGAAAGGTTGGAGGAGAAGCCCTGACAGGTTGGACGGGCGGCCTGCCTGGTTGGAGGGACAAAGGTTGGAAGACGGAGGCGGCTCAGCGAAGGCTGGAAGGGCGGGCCCCCGAAGGTTGGAGGAGAAGCCCCCACAAAGGTGGCCGCAAGGGCGGCCCTGGAGTGGCCCCCCAAAGGTTTGATTGAGGAGAAGCCCCCACAAAGGTGGCGGCCCGCAAGGTTGGAAGACGGAGGCTCAGGCGGCCCTGGAAGGTTGGAACATGTGGAGTGGCCCTTCAAAGGTTGGAGGAGAAGCCCCCATACACGGGCGGCCCACCCGCCCGCCGAGAATGGTTGGAGGGACAAAGGTTGGAACACGGAGGCGGCTCAGTGAAGGCTGGAAGGGCGGCCCTGGAAAGGTTGTGTGGAGAGGTGGCCTGCCCCCACAAAGGTTGGACGGGCGGCCCGCCCACCCCTGAATGGTTGGAGGGACGAAGGTTGAAAACCAGATCCACAGAGCAGCAGATCCATTTCAAGAACATGCGTTTGCTTTTCCGAAACTTTTCCCTTGTCGGGTTTCTTGCTTGGGTCTCACCATCGGTTGTGGAAACTCTAGTTTATTTTCTGTCTTCTGTTTTTTGCCCCCCAAAAAGCGTTTTGGGGTCGAGGGAAAAAAGCTTGTCCTGCTGAGGTCTCACCGTCCTCACTCCCTGTAGAAACATGCGTTTGTTTTCTGTCCTCTTTTTCGTTGAAACCCTAAAAAAGGGGATCCCGTAAAACACCTGTCCCGCTGAGGTCTCACCATCCTCAACTCCTTGTAGAGACAGGCCAGGCCTTTCCCCCCCCCTTTCGAAAAAATAGCGTTCAAAGAATCCAGTACGTAGACGCATTCAGTTGTTCTCCGTTTAGATGAGATGCAAACAAGGGTTCCAGTACGGGGCCGCGACAGAAAGGCTTCCATGTCGGGACCATTCATGAGCTCCGCATTAGAACGCTCCAAGTAGGGATCATGAAGATAGACTTCTTGACACAAGCTGTTTTAGGAGGGCCCCTAAACTCCCAATGGTTGGAGGGACGACGGGCTCAGTGAAGGCTGGAAGGGCGGCCCTGGAAAGGTTGGAAGAGGCGGCGGAGAGGGCGCACCCAAAGATTGGAGGAGGCGACCAGCGGCCCCCAAAGCCCCATCGAAACGAATTGAAACGAACCGGGCCTTGGCAAGGAACCGGCTGCGAAACGAAACGGCCGAATCGTACGGCGATTCAGGGCTATCGAATCGAACACACCGAAACGGACGTGCGCGCGAAACGGAACGAACCCAAACGAATCGTGAGAACCCTGCACTTAGATATCAAAGTCAGAAATTGGTTGGGTTCTTTCCCTTTCACTGCGGTAAAAGCATGGGGCAGCAGCAAATGTGCATCTGAGCTGCTAGAGCGCCCTTCTGTAGCACGTACTGCTACCGCCCGCACCTGACAATCTGAACAGCGCGCCTTTGTCTTGTTCCATTCCCCAGGACAACACTTCTCCAGAAAAAGAGAACGTGTGTGTGTGTGTGTGTCCCACGGAGTGCCCAGGGGGTTTTCCTTTTGACGCCTTGGGATGCCGAAACGTGCTTCAGTCCATTGTAAGACACACCGGTATGAACCCTGGTAGGCACCCCCAGTTGGAATTCACTGCTGGCTTGAGGGAAACCAGCTGTGGTTTGGGAATGGTTTTTGGCAAGCTTTGGCCTCTCATGGCTGCGTCTGTTGGAGGGTACCCCTTGTTCGGGCTTAAAGGGAATACCAACGGACCACCGTTGCGCCAATTCGGAACTCATCCAAAAACGACGAGCCCTGCGGCTCGATCTCTCCTTCCCCAGCCTCGGGGTCGAGAATCTGGGTGCCTGCAAGCTCCAGCCAGCGGACGACGCACAAGGCCTGGAGATCGATCGCGAGAAGCGATGCATTTCGGAAAACCCAGAGCATCACGGGGGAAGAAGAAGAAGAAAAACGCCTTTAAAAAGTCCGATTTTGCCCGCAACAATGTGAACTCAGTCCTAGGCAGAACGGTCGCGCCTCCTGCCACTTGCCTGCTTGCTTGCAGGATCTGGTGGCTGCACTGCTGGTGGCCTGAGACTCGACACTCGACTCGAAATCGGATCGAGCCGCCTGCTTGAAGGCGGGGCCGATTCCAAGTCGATGCGGCTCGTCCTGCAAATCGCGTGGGGAAAAAAAGGCCAACTGGTAGGGAGGAAGACAGGTGAGATGAGTTTTGCTGTACTCTGGTTGGACTCACTGAACTGTTGCGTCAACCAACCCAAACCATGGGGCCCCATCTTCAGAGCTCAGGTCTCAAGGGCCTAGGACCAACCTCGAAAAAGAAGTCCACCAGACCAGAAAAAGGCCAGCACCCAGGGGGAAAGACATAGCTTGCGGAAAAGAATGGGAAGTCACCTTCCCAGAAAGCCCACCGTGGCTTTGGGAAAAGCCAAACACATCCACAAGGAGCGCCGTGGCACAGCAGCGCTCCTCATCCGCACCACCAGGTCTATACACTGCTCCCAGCAGCCGCCCACCGACAGGCTAGAGCAAGCCGCGTTGCTTCCCACCTGCCAAAGAAAATGAGGGAAAAAGCCTGTACTGTAACCGAGGAGCTAAACTGGTTTGTGCTTTTTGTGGGTACCTTCTTTGGCTGTTTTTTCATGGCAACCAAAAGGATGACCAACATTTTGGGGGTCCAAATCCTGAACAAAGCATAAGGAACATGGATGTTACCGATTGGGGAGCTGGGGTTGAGCCTGGCAAGTGTGGACCCAGTCGTTCGCAAACAATCGTGGGGGCAGGGTCCAAATGGACAAAACTGTTGCTGGTGGCGAATCCCATGATTTCATTCAAATCGGGTCTCATCCAGCCCGATTCAGGTGTGAAGTGGATTTGTCCATCAGTACCATGGTCTCAAGTAGATTTGCAGGGAAGGGAGAGGCAGAAACAAAACACCTTGTTTCTCAAGATCAAGAACAAACTTATTAGGCATCAAAAAGAGCACCATGATTCATGCTTAATAAGTTGTCTTTGACACCTATCCCTGCCGGGAATCCATTGTCCAACTTCAGGGACCCATTCTGACTTGAATCAGGGGGGTCCAAGGCGCCAAAAAGAAACTGGCTCCTTGAATTGGCCTGGTGATGATCAACGCAGTTGACCCATGGGTTCCAACAAAGGCTCGCGAGAAAGATGAGAAAACGCGGGTGATGTTCCAAACCACCCAAAGGTCAGAAGACCTTAGGGCACCCCTTCCTTTAACCCTTATAGTTGGTGTTTTGGATCCACTGGCTGAGGCTTCTCTGCGTGTCTTTGGAGCTGGTACCCCCCCCCACCCGTTTTGCGGCCAACAGAGAACCCAAGGGAAAAAAGAAAACATTTCGCCCCCCCCCCCAAAAAAAAAAAAATATGGCAAACCCAAACAGAAACGTGGTTCCCCGTTTGAACCCCCAAAAAAAAACACGAGAAAGCGCGAGCCTTAGTCAACCCCTTCCCTGACAAAAATTCGCGCCCGTGAGGAGGATACGATGGATCTCAGGCCCCGGCCCCATCCAGCTTCAGCCGCAGATCCCTCGGTGCCCGTGACATGACCTGCTGAATGTCCACCGATGTCCAGTAGCGAAATCGACTCCCCTTTTGAGACCAACAAGAAACCATTGAACCATGTGTTGGTGTCTTGTTGGGAAATATGCAGGTGCTTTTTCTTTTTATTGTTGTTATTGTTTTCGGTTTTTCATGGGAAAGCACATGGCATATAGTGGCATATTCAAATATAACGTTCCAAGCAAATGAACGTTCGCATGGGAAGTAAGCCTATGGTGCTATCCCCGTCGGCCCCGGAGCCTGAAGGTGAGCAGCTAAATGGGTCCGTCGTTTTGTGGGAACCCCCCAAGATCCCGTGGTTTCCCGTGGTTTCCCCGTAGAAACCACCCGAAGAAAAAAAAAGTACCACAATAAAAGACAGTCTCTCCGGACTCTGAGGTTTCCTGGGCGCCAGTGCTCTGATTTTGCCAGATATACTTGAACTAAAGTCCCCTTTTGTGATGGATTCAACAGGAAAGCAAAAGGAAACACCAACCCGAATCCCTGATTGTGGGTGTGAAACACCCAAATGAGCAGCGCCCAAATCCCATTGACTTTTGGTACTAACACCCATGCCCGCAAATGGACCATAGATAGCGGACATGTTGACCAAAACTCAAATGAATCAAGGGAGGGTTCTCCAAATATGGCACTCTTGGATGGAAACCAACCACCCACACGGGGCCAACCTTGGTTGCGGAAAATCCGCCGATCTCTGATACCAAGCTCGGCCATCTTTGTGACTCTGTCATTTGAAGGAGGGAATTTCCTTAGTATCACAAACAGCAGCCGAAAACTGCTTTTGCTAGCACCATGGGCTGATTCATTTGACTCATTTTGAGAAACGCATCAAGTCAGCACCACTTTGCACAACCCACACCCATCAGACACCTCATCATCTCCAGCAGAAGCGCCGACGCAGGCCAGCCATCCTGTCCAAACATGTCCGGCTCCTCTCTTTTCGCTTGGGTGTTGCAAGGGAAGGCTTCTTTTTTCGCTGACACCACACCAATTTGCACGCGGCTCCATATCCGACACACCACACCAAATCGCCCCTTAAGCCCCCCAAGGCATCCTTGCGGCAGGCCGCCAGAGCAGTGTTGTAGCCCACAGCATCTGCCGAGCGCCTCGAGATCGGTCTCGTGCCGTTCATATTCACAAATCTGCAAAAACCCTCGTGGCAACGTGGCCCTTTGGGAAATCCACCATGTTCCTCTTTCATGTCCCTCTTCAACAGCTTTCTGGGTGGACTTATTTGGAGGTTTGATTAACTCCAACACAAAGCAAGGGGAGCCGTAGGGAGTCGTAGGAAGGTGTTAATGGTCCTAAACCGTCACCAATAGTCACCTGATTCAGCTGCAATAGCTCTCTGCCAGGGCTCCAAATCAGATGAGCGTGTCTCAAAGATTTCGGACCCTTGGTACACGAATCGATTCCTTTGAGAAACCCCCGTTTTTGGGTGTCCCTTAAAGTAGGGGCACCCCCAAATTGCTGGGTCTCCTGTTGGTCTCTCTTTGAAACCAGCCAAAAAAGGGGGTTCCCACAAAAACGAGGATGAGGCACCCGTACATGATTGAAGGGTGTGGCTTTGGGCCCCCGATGCTCGGCCGCTTGCCATAGGGCGCCAAGCGCCAATTCCCACCTCACATCGCCATCCGTGGGCGATATTTCACCCCACCACCGCCCCAAACCTCCCCCAACCCGGCCTGAAAATCGTGGCATGTCCATTATTTGGAAAATCATATACTGCCATCCCTCCTCACCTTTGACCAGTGTCATTTTCTTCGGCGGTCATTTTGATCAGTCTCAACAACTGCGTTTCAACCGTCCAAGCTCCAGGCTTCTCCCCCCACTGGTAGACTGCTGACATAGCATTGGCTGCGCGGGCCTCAGTGGAGTGAGGGCGTCCGAGCGGTGCAGCGCCCAGCACGGCGGGGGTCACTTCTGGGCTTCCTGCTTGCCGACTGCCCTTCTGAGAAGACACCTTAGCACGTCAGCTCAAGCGCCAAAATTTCAACCTGCCAGATTGCAGCGACCCGGGCTCTCTAACATCACCCCAAGAGGACACGAATCTAAAAGTGGGTCAAAAAATGATGCTTGAAACCAGCAACTTGGGGAACATAGGAAAAAAGGAGACCCTGCATCACTGCATCCGCCGCTCTGCTTTTACCCGGTGAGGTACTGCACTACTCCTCGGCATCCACTTTGTGCCTCTGTGAAACTGATTCCAGACAGGCCATGCCAACCTGCGGGGAGAGAAGGAAAAAAGCACAAAAAACAGGGGAGAAAAGAAAGAAGGAGAAAAACAAAAAAAACGCCATCCGCAAATATGGGCGTGAATTTTCGTTGGCCCCTCAGGTGGACATCATTTAGGTGGGGAGTTGTGTCCACCGTTGAGGAAACTTCCCCATTCATTTCACAATAGCTCCACTTGCTCGCTGAGTTCACATCGCTTTTTCGAACCCTTCCGCTCCTGCTCCATGCTGCCAGAAGCGTCCACTTCTTGCACCAGGTTCTGCTTGCTGAAGAACTGCCGCAGCATCGAGCTGTCCTAGACACCAGAATGAAGTGTCCCTTGACCATCATACGGGTGACCTCAAAAAACACACACACACACACACACACACACACACACACACACACACACACACACACACACACACACACACACACACACACACACACACACACACACACACGCACATGTGTGCCATAGTCAAATCTCCTTGAGGTCATGGTGTTGCTGCTGCTCCCTTGCTGGGAACCTTTCTGTGGGTGTCTAAACCTCAATTAAGAGCCCTACCAACCAGAAGTAGCGGGGTCTTTTGACCATCGCACACGTACAGGCTCGACTTCAGGCCAGCAACTTTCTGGTAGCGCTGGAGCTGCTCTTTCATCCGCTGCTCCTCTCATCCGGAGCTTCGCACGCGAGGGCAAAGCATGTACTCCGAGTGCATTTGTCTCTTTGAGGGTGCCCAATTTGGGGTTGTTGCGATTGGAGCCAAAGGAAAACCACCTCTCCTATGCTGCAACAAGCCCTAACACAATTCTCGCTACTTCTTGCGCCGGGTCCTCATGGGGCGGCCGCACCAAAGGATCACCCGTGAAGTCATCCTTGCCCTGGTCCAGTGGAGGTCGGTGGATGTCGTGGTAGAGACGGCCTAGCAGCCAAAAGCCGAGGGTCAGAAAAAAAAAAAGTTACCCTTGGATCACCCTACCAAAAGGGACTCACTTCAAGTCGACACAAGAGGTGACGTTCAAAAAAGCCCTCCAAAGGGAGAACTACAAGGAACCCTGGAAAGCTAAAACCCAGCAAGCCCTGGCCGGCCTGAGGCTTCATGAACGAGCCGCCCCTGGCATCTCTCCATGAGGACATCCTGGAAATGCTTCAAACACGTGAGTGCGAAGTGTGTACTCAGTTGCCCAAAGGACCCAGGAATCAATGGCCAGCCTTTTGTATGACTAAAATGGACAAGAAATATAGCGACCCCTTGGTGGACATCAGGATCTGGCGGGGATTCATATCCAACCACTCCTTCAGTTGGACAAAATCCACAAAACGCACCAGTTGGGACGGATGAAACCGACTGAAACCTGGAATCAACCACGCGAAGCGAACCTGCCTGGATTTCGTGTGACATTGCAACCATCCACACTTTTGAAGCCATGATCAAGATGATTTCCACTCACAAACCGCCAGGAGAAAAAGGCATTGCCGTCTGTGATTCTATAGTGCACACAATATCCCATGAACCCTCCCCCTCCCCCTGTGGGTTGCTTTGGGGGGCAGAAACCATGGACATGCTGAAAGCGCCTCGGGTGCCTCTAGGAAGATCGCGGCATCCAACGTCTTGTTCTGCTTGGCCAGCTCTTCCTGAAGCCTCGACGCCTAGGTCGCATGCATATGGCATCCTCCGGGCCGCTCAAAAAAACAACCCACATGCGAGGGGATCCTTCTCGCCTTTGGCTTTGGAAACCAAAAGGGACACCTCTAGTCCAGTTCTGGGATCCCCTGTTGACACAAACCCATACAGTGCGTGTTGCGGATTTTCTCCGTCCAGGTCTTTTAGGATTTGGACACCCAAAATGCCGCAACGGTGTTCCTTAGGCTTCTGCTTCCCTTACAAACCCACAAAAAAAGATTGGTGCCAACTCCGGTTCTCCTTAAAAACCCAGTAAACAAACTTGGTGCCAACTCCGGCTTCCTGTAAAAATAATCCACCAAAAACAGGTTGCTTGGCAGCTCCAACACATACGCCCCCCTCCCCCCCGTGGTGTGGTGTTCCAAGGGCCCAGGCCTGGGGCAAGGTCCTGGGGAAGCCATCCAGCACGAAGCCTCTGCGACACTCCGGGCGCTCCAGGAGCGCAGCCAGGCTCGCCCTCCAGTCCCATCGAGTCGAGTCCCCGAGTCGGATCTGTGTCAACCTGAAACCATTTGGGTGGCTCTCGTCTTTTGAGACGGTACAAATGTAACCAGTGGGGTTACGCTGGTTTTAGTCTTTGGTTCCATTTGCCAAGGTGCCATTGTGGTACATGTTTTTGACCCTACAACTACCAATTTTCCGGCACTAAAACCATTTTGGAACCTGAAACCATCAGCTGCCCCCCCCCAATAGGTCCAAGGCACCTGAAACAACCAGTTGTACATGGTGGTTTCCCAAGCTCCATGTTTCCATCAAGGTCCAATTCTTCCTGGATTAGAGAACCCATTGGTCATCAATTTATCACCCGTCTTTTTGTTTGTTTGTCGTTGTTGCTTTCTCTTTCTGTTTTGTTTCTATTTCTTTTGGGGGGGGGGAATCATCAAAGGTCATCAGACCTGCTGTGGACAAAACGCACAAGTTATGCACGAAACCAGATTTGAATACTGGGATACGCCGCCGAAAGTGGTGCAGGAGTTTGTCCATCAACGCTAGGTGGCACTGGCGAACGATTAGAATCAAGCTGACACCAGTGCCATTCAACCAAAGTGACCTGAGGACACCTGTGCCCCAAGTCTAATCCCAGGATTTGTTGAACCTGGGTTAATTCCTGTAAGATATGTGCTCATACCTCCCTCTGGGTGCAGACCAAGCGTCAGAGCTCGCTCGTCCAGAGATCCCGTGCCCTCCGAGCCTCGGGCGCCATCGAGGAGTGCCATGCTCCAGGCCCTTGACCTTTGAAAAGGATCGACCTTTCGTAGGGTGAATCCGGAAAATCCAACTTTTTGGTTGAAAGATGCCAACTGCCCTGGAGAAACCGGAAAATCAAAAAGTGTTTGTTCAAACGGTCTCTGCGGTTAGCCCCCTCCGGGGTCAGCAGCCCAGAAAATATTCCGCCGAGATGCCCAGCAGCTCCCGCCCGGAGATGCGGCAAATGCCAAAGGCCCGCCGCAGGGCATCCGATTGGGTATGCTTTCCTGGGCTCCGCACATCCGGCGCTGACCAAAAAAAGATTCTAAAAGGACCAGTGGCGCTTGAAGCGGCTTTTTTGGCCAAGTGTCCCACGCAGGGCGGGCCAAACACCGCCAAGTTGGCAGGTTTTCGGCTCAGCAGGTGGTGCCTGACGTTGGGAAGCACCCCCCAACCCCCCAACCCGCCAACCTTCCACCCCCCAACCCCCCAACCCAAACCTTGACACGCCTACCAAAGGGGGGGGGGAGTGGGTTGGTCCGGTCACAAGGCCTGCGCTTCAGCTCAGTGATGAGCTCCGCAGTGGGGACCGTCTCCAAGTCCTCTGGCGACACTCGGCCTGAGGTCGCTGGCGGGGTTCAATTCGGACCATGGCTGTGGGTCAAAAATACTGTGGATGGACGAAATCCATTTCGCACCGCCTAAGAAACCCTGGAATGATGATTCCCCCCTGTAAATACCAACAAACGATGGTTTCCCATGGTTTCAAAGTGGTGCGAAATGGATTTCGTCCATCCACAGTAGGTACCCATACCCACATCGACATAACGAAGAAGGATCTCAGCATGTTAGCATGAAAAGCCAGAAACAGACTCATTTGGCTGATTGTCAAAACCGTCTTGGGATCCCATTTTGGTTGGTGAATTCACCACCCAGTTTGGAACCAATTTCAATGGTTGGATTGGGATGTTCACTGGGGGCTAACCGGGCTTTTGACCCATGGCCATTTACCAAAGGAAGAAGTTCCACGTGGAGGGGATCCCAAGAATTCTGTCTTCCTTTGGGGTCCCTTTAAACAAACCCAACAAAAGGGTACCCTCTCACACACACAAAAAAACAAACAAACAAACAAACAAACGAAACCAAACCAAAACAAACCAAACCAAACATCCTACTTGCGCAAACCGAGCCTGCCATTGAACCGACTCCCAGCACTCCATGAGCCGAGCTGGAGCCGAAAGCGATCTGCCTGCGGCAGACATGAGGATGCACTGAACACTGCGCACAGAAGCATTAACCCTGCCACAGACCCTGGCAATAGCAACTGTCCAGCAAACTTTGGCAGTTCTTGTTGCCAGTCAGATGAGTGATGGACGATATTTCTAACTTGTGATTGAAAATGGACGAACAATAGAAACCCTATTGCCTTATTGGTTATTGCAACTTACTGGGTTTTGTGCTTGAAACCTCTGGGCCTCTTGCAGTATGTGGGGACTCCAGAGTATCGCAGAAAGCAGCGCGCTCCAAAGCACCAAAATGGGGGGAAGCTCAGTACCGGGCCCCTCCAAACAACGAGGCTGCTCAACGTCCATAGGCTCGGACCGGGCTGCCGATCGCCCGCTCCCAGCGCCGGTTTCGGCCCTGCGCAAGCATCACCGCCTCACGGATCCATGGCGCCCTACGCGAATAGTGTGTCCCGACATAGGAATCCGTCCATGTCCCAACATTGCCTTTTTTGGATTCCCTAAAAACAGGCCCGAACTCACGTCCTGAGCGGGTTTGCCGCAAAAAGTCCAAGTTGCTTGTTTACCACTACAGCTGTCTTTCCAAACAAAAATAAGTCCAGGAACTCAAGGAGTGAGCAGAAGGGGCCTAAGGGTGTGCGCGTGTGTGTGTGTGTGTGTGTGGGTGGGTGTGGGTGTGGGTGTGGGTGTGGGTGTGTGTGTGTGTGGGTGTGTGTGTGTGTGGGTGTGGGTGTGGGTGTGGGTGTGTGTGTGTGTGGGCGTGGGCGTGGGTGTGGGTGTGGGTGTGGGTGTGGGTGTGAGTGTGCGTGTGCGTGTGCGTGTGCGTGTGGGTGTGGGTGTGGGTGTGGGTGTGCGTGTGCGTGCGCGTGCGCGTGCGCGTGCGCGTGGGCGTGGGCGTGGGCGTGCGCGTGCGCGTGCGCGTGCGCGTGCGCGTGGGCGTGGGCGTGGGCGTGGGCGTGGGAGTGGGAGTGCGTGCGCGTGTGCGCGTGCGCGTGCGCGTGGTGTGTGCGTGTGCGCGTGTGCGCGTGTGTGCGTGTGCGTGTGCGTGTGCGTGTGCGTGTGCGTGTGCGTGTGGGTGTGGGTGTGGGTGTGGGTGTGGGTGTGGGAGTGGGAGTGGGAGTGGGTGTGGGTGTGGGTGTGGGTGTGGGTGTGGGTGTGGGTGTGGGTGTGGGTGTGGGTGTGGGTGTGGGTGTGGGTGTGGGGGTGGGTGGGTGTGGGTGTGGGAGTGGGAGTGGGAGTGGGAGTGGGAGTGGGAGTGGGAGTGGGAGTGGGAGTGGGAGTGGGAGTGGGAGTGGGAGTGGGAGTGGGTGGGTGGGTGGGTGGGTGGGTGGGTGTGTGTGTGTGTGTGTGTTCTTGTTTGAGGCTCGGAACCCTGCCTGCACGGAATGAGGGAACCCTTGCATCCAAGCTACCAAAACCGGAAACACGTGGGGGTGTCATTTTTTGAGTACCCTTGGGGTCATGCTAAAGGAAAACCACAGTCCAAAAGGGAACCATCTCATAAGTGACTGGTGGACAGTGACGTCCACGATTCCGAGTCCCTTTTCAAAATTGCCCAGATTGCCCCCTTTCACCCCGCACGAAACTCACAACAAAAGTCGGGGAACCGTCCCTTTTGGCCCAAATGAGCTTCGGGATTCTCACAGTTGCGATCTGACTCTGGGTGTGCCAGGCTGGGTCTACCAGGCTGCCAGAACCTGACTTGTGAAAGTCAAGTTGGTAAATCGATCGCTTTTTTTGATGCCCTCTACGAGCCGCGCCTAGGAAACTTGAAGGTCTGAAATGGACCTACCACGTTAGACCTTTCCGGCAAACAGCGGAAAATACTATGTCAGACTGTCAGACCCCTAGTAAGTCAACGGTGTCGGTTTTGGGGTGTCCCCCTCATTTAGGACTGATTGATCTGGGTATGAATTGCAATTTCCTAAAACAAAGGCACGCTATCTGAATAGTAATATGAGTTTCAATTGGAAAATGCCTAAACTGGTGCACATCAGACATGCATGCTTGGATTTATGAGCCCCTAAACCTGTTTCAGGCAACCCACTAAAGTTCTGCCGAGGCCTTCCAATCAAGGTTCCATATTTTGGGTGATACCTCAAGGAAGACTTACACCCAGGGATTCCGATTTTGTTTTGAGAAAATTCAGCCCCCCTGTGTGGGGGGTCCCCTAAAGGCCCACCCAAATCGGATTCGGCCAAAAGGCCTCCCAGCACACGTAGTCAGGTTCGAAGCTCCAGCCCCTTCCGCGCTGCAGAAGGTCCTGCGAGCGAAGCCAACGACCGGAGCCGACAACCGGCAAAGAAATGCCCTCGTTGTGTCAAAACCCTGGTGTCCTTTTGGTTTCGCTCGAAAAACAATTGGTACCCTCGAAAACACAGGCCACACACGTGTACCTCAATTGGCGCGTTTTGAGATACCGAACCTTCCAATGGAGGTCCCGAACCTCTCCAATGGAGGGTCTTTTCTGATGCTCAAATACATGTTCGAACACCTTGACCAATGACACTCTTTGGATTCAATGGTTGTATTCGGGTGTCTTACGGACCCCCAAAAATGGTGTTTCTTCCTTTTGGTGTCCTTCAAAACCAGCCAAGAAGGGGTTCCCTCAAATTCAACACCCTCCCATTCGATTTTCACCGGCTGGCAAAGGCTGACCAAATCCCCGGGCCCGTTACGGACCCTGGAGGGGCCCTTGAAAACAACTCAGTTCGAGGGCCAGAAGTGTCCAGTTTCTGGTTGACCTCGGTCCGAATTGAAGAAACCGAAGGCTAAGTTCCGAGTTTGGAAACTCAAGAGGTAAGCATTACCTGGTTGCGGAACCGCAACACTCGTGGCTGTTTGGAGTCTGAATCAGCATGTTGCTCCGTGGATTTTTCTGACCGCCTGATCCCTTCGGGACCGCAAGAAAGGCCCTGCCTTTGGTAGGGCCTTGCAAATGGATGTACAACGGCGATGCCTTGAACCAGCATAAAAAAAAAAAAAAAAAAACAGCCACAGGGAGGAGCGCGAGGCATGATTTCAACTTCATCTTTCTACCATCAGCATCCCAAGCACAGCATAGAGCAGGTAGCCAACTAAGGGCGGCGCGTCTGAGGCCACCCCACCGGGCTGAGTTGTGCCTCCCTCGCCGGGCTGAGTTGTCACTACCCCATCGGGCTGAGGGGTCGTGACCCCACCGGGCTGAGTTGTGGTTCCGGCAACGAGGCAGCTGGTATTGATCTGCGGCGGCACGACTGGGCAAGCTCGTTCAGCCAAGGAGCAGCTTCCAACTGCCAAGGCGCCGCAACGACATGGGAAAGCTTCTGGGGAGTAGCTGTGGTTGCCAATCAAGTACACCCCGCAATCCGCCTGGTTCTCTGCACAAACCTTGAAGCCTCCACCCATGGATGCGCAGGGATCCAGCATGTAGTACTCAAAGCCCCACTGGCAGCTCTCCGCCACCATGAACGCCTTGCTCGGAAAATCCCCGGCAGTGGCCAAATAGGTGGCCAGCGACTCCTTCAGCGCAGCAGAAAACTCTTCCTCCCGGCAGCTCGTGGCCTTGTGAGGCACATCCAAGGTGCTGCTGTCCAGGGCAAAGGTGTCGTTGACCTTGCAGCTCCACAACGTGCCCTCCACCTGTGTTGCGGTGCAAAGCTGCTCGGGTCTTCGCTCGCACGACGTGAAGGCCTCCGAGATCTTGCGCTGCGTCTCCGCCACCAGCGGCAGGAAGTGCTGGGTCGCGAGGCAGCTGGACCACGAGGCGTCCTCCGGGGAATGCGCCAGGACCAATACCAGGTCTTCGTGCGGCAAAACCTCCAAGGACGCGGCCAAGCACCCGAAGTGACCGGCCGCACGTTGTCCGTTCACCAAGTAAGTGTTGAAGGTCCTGCCCACTCCTTGCTCCACGCCATGTTTTTGGATGGGTGACAACAAATCAACGAAGTCCTGGTGCTTCAGCAAGGTTTTGGCGATCGCATCAGGATGGTTGTTGTAGCCATCCACCAGCCATTGCCCATACAATCCTACGTCACTCAAGGTGGCCCACAATCCACCGGCGGGATTCGCATCCACAACTTCGGCACTTGACATTCCCAGGGGGTCAAAAATCAAAGTTTTGGCCAGCGTTCCAAAATCCAAACCACTGATGAGCTCCTCGATGAGGGCCAAGATCAGAACCCCATCATGATGAACGTAGGTTAGTTGAGTATTCAGCTCAGGAATGCAATTGCTCAAAGGCGGATGGTGCAGGCTATTGTTGACCAAAACCGCACGAGACGCAGGATGCCCACCCAGTTGACCTTGTTGCCAGCTCTCAGCAAGAAGCTCTTGAGACATAGGGGCACCCTCAGCTATCAAACAGGCGGTGTGTGATGCTACATCCAGGAGCGATGCATTTTCGTATGCCGTGCCGACCGCCAAGGGCAGCCACTGATGCAACTTGTCGTCCCAAGAGATCTGCGGCAAACTTTGGTTGGCCATGAGCATCTGCATCACCACCCCAACCAAGGTCTTGGTCACGGAGGCGTAGCCCCATCTCAGCACCGGGGGATTCACAGCCGCTGTCTTGGTGGATGCACCGCTGCGTTGATATGCACCAGTGGCCACCTGACTCAGTCAAAGCTGGTATCAAAAGTCTGCCCCAAACCTATGTCAAGAATTTGAAGGGCGGCCGCACCCTTTCATGGTTGGGACTCCCCTACTATTTTTCATCTACCGGGTGTTCATTGTTGCCGGACCTGAGTCACAATCACAAACTGCTATTAAAGCGGATCCAAAACAGTCTAAAGAATTCAAAGGGCGGATATCTGCACCTATTTGTGGGGCATGTGTCAAAATAGAGCAGAATTGTTCCTGTGGATGTTCCTTTAAACCACCCCAAAGATGGTACTCTCAAAAAGCACGATACGCGTACACACACACACACACTTGTGCCTGCGCCATTTCCCCGCAGCGGTTGCGAACCAATGCTCCGGCAACATCCATAGGTGGTGACAAAGATGCGCCCTCTGCCAGTGCATTCTGCAGCAGTGAGGTGAGACCATCGGCACCGAAACCCGACATCTTTGAGCCTTGAGCTGACTGAGGCAAATGAGTCTGTTTGAAAGGTGCATGCTGCATGTGGGTGTGGTTTGGAGTTGGTACCCTTTTGGGGGCGGGTTGGAGTTTTCATCTTTTTGGGGAAGGGTTTGCTGGTTCTCAGCAGGGAATGAGGGAATGAACCCCAGAAACCATCCAACTGGTGGTTTCCTTTCCGGGAATCCTCAAACGCTTCATTGCCAACGCCCGAAGAAGGTCATCCCTACCTATTGCAACAAGGTTAAGGAAACTCCAAACCGAACCACCTCCGGGGGGCCGAGACCTGTACATCGGTCCTGAGACTTCTCCCAATCGGCGAGGGACTTCAAACCCGCCCCCAGCGTCAGCATCTCGGAGCGGCTGTCGTCCGGTTGGTGTGTTGTCTTTTGGGGTTCCCTTTTTGGGGTTGGCTAAAATCCAAAAGGACACCTTTGCCATTTTGAGGGTCCCAATTTGAAGCACCCTTAGGCCAAGAGGATCTTGGTGCTACAAAAGGGCACACTGGGTCCACCAGATGAGTCTTCTTTAGGTGACCCTTTTCCGGGTGAGCATTGGAGAAAAGGGCAACACAACACCCCGAACTACAAGTAAGAATGAGTAAAACACACCCATGCGGATTTCTCAGGACCCCTTGGGAATGTTTTTTGTATTTCTTCGGCCGATTCCGCCAATACCGCCGATGAGTGCAAGGCATTGGGCTCAAGCTGATGTTCTTGCGCGGCTCCGAGCAAACTGAGTGCCTCGGATTGGACGGATTCAACGTCCCAAAGGAAAGAAGAAGAATACCTGGAGGCCCAATTGATACAGAAATTTGTGCGCGAATGTTTTTTGCAGAAAAAATGCCCGAACTCCGAAAATGCAATTGAGCACTTTTTTCTGTGTCAATTGGGCCTCCAGGTAGAGCAGCACTAAATTCCCTTTGAATTAAACAGAAGCTCAATGGAAGTCCAAGGAGCGGAGCACTTGCCCTTTGGTCGGAGTCGGGAGGTTGACCAATCAAATTGGGAAGGCTGTGGAAGGCTCAAGTGGCAAAACGCGATCTGGACGCCGATCGATCGATTCATCGCCTGGTCCCAGGGGTCCAAGACATCCACCAGGGAAGAGAAGATCATCAAATTCAGGGAGAAGCCCTCCTGGCCGATGGATTCTGGGTGCCTTGCTCAAGTCTGCGTAAGACATATGTTCAGACATAGATTCCCTTTGCAACCAACAGGAGAACATCAAACGGTTTCAAACGTGTTCATTTCTGCAAATGGAAGGATCCGTGGGCAACATGCGGCTGAAGGGTTGTCTCAAAGGGATCAACAGACCCCTACAAATGGAAGAGGGCGCGAACGTGTCCATTGGATTCCCTTGAAAGCCATCCTGTTTGGAGCCACCCCCAGGAGAGGCTGTTGGTGAAAAATACAATGGTCCAAATCCAGACTTCTATGAGTGTAAAGAGGGTGGATGGCTACAAAATCAACCAAATCCAGGCAGGTGGATTTGGGTGGTTCATTCCATTCATCCAGCCCAACTGCTAGAATGTTTGTCCACCAGGCAGGAAGGAGGCATTCGAGCCGGCAACAAAACGGGACCTGGAGAGGTCGCAAGCCTAATCCGCCGATCCACAAAGGGGTTCACAATGTTGACCAAAAAAGAACACTCCCAATGGAGCACCTGCCGCATCTCCTCGGTCAGATGCAGCGAGCTTTGCCAGCCCTCCTGTCGCCGAGCAAGCCAAAACCAAACCTGCGCCTAAAGGAAAAGCAACTCATGGCTCCATAAGTTCAAAAGCTTCACATCAACACCTCCCACCAAGAGTGCCCAAAAAACAACTTCCCGAATTTGGGGGCCGGGGGTGTCCTTCTGTCAATCTGCAAAATTGAGAAACGGCACCTCCGACAGAGCGGCTCCAAAAGAGCTGACACCTGGGAGTTCAGTCACAGACATGAAGGCGAGCGCTGGAGTTGGGTCGACGTGGGCCCGTTTTGCTTTCACTGGGCTGGTTGACTTCAGCTCGTTCTGTACTTTCGGACATGTGTCAATCAAGGCAATATCAAGATCGACACCTGTCAGTAGCCGACATGAACCTCAGTCCGGCCCTATCAGTTTTCGGCAAGGGTGCAACCAACATGACATGCAGAAGCCACCAACATGCCAAGGCATGACTGTATGAACAAAATGCTTTCCTCAAAGGGCAGTGGGACATTTGGGTGGGCATGTCCTCCGCAAACTAACATGTGCCACCAACTTTGTCAGTTGCTCACAAGTCCAAATTGCGGATGAACCCAGGCACGGTGCAAAGTAAAGCAGTGTCACATTGTCCGCGACGACGCATGTTGTAACATCACTCGGTGGAAGGCGTTGGATGCAAAACGCGTTCAACGTTCGGAGGCCGCAAAAGCGGAATCAATTGCCCCCAAATATTGCAAACCGCCTGAAATTACCACTATGACTCTCGGGCCCATTGAAAATTCACCGGCAACGAGCGCCCGAGTTTTGGCCTTACCAGCCAGGACCCAGGCTTCGATCCAATCGCCATGAGCGCATGGTCCGCAAAAGCTGCTGCGCCTGCACGCAACGCAGCTCACCAGATCCACTCGAACACCACAAGAAGTTTGACTTTGTTTGGAGCGGGGGGGGTGGAAACTTTGCTCGGGATTTTCATGGTTTGAACCTTTGACAAAAGGGGGCGGGCGCGAGGGCGTGGCTTTTCGGGATTTGCTCCCGGTTGGATTTCCCCGATCCCAGGCGTTCTAACCCGCCTGGTGTCCTTTTGGTGGGCGGATCTTCTTTTTGGCTGGATATGTCGTGTCTTTGAAAGGACATTTCGGGTGAGAGCCCGGCACATGCGTTTGCATGCAAAAAACTGCCAGAATGGAGAAAACACCTCCGGCATTTTTCCCCACTCCAATAGCCACTTTGTTCAGCGTCTTTTTGGGACCTGGCTTTCCAGGCTCAGGGCAACTACCTCCTTGTTCGTTATACAAAGCGGGCACTTGGAGTGGGGGGTAGCACTCCTTCTTTGAAAACATACCCTCAACCCAGAAATCGGTGCCCTTTCAGGTTACCCCAAAGACAGCCCTTTCTTGGGCACCAAAGCTCCAACTCTCCTGCAAATAGGTTGCATTTTAGGAAGCTCTCTCGAAGAAATTTGCCTCTGATTCGCGCCGTTGCAGCTCTACCTTGAGCTCCATTGTGAGCTACCAACTCCTGTCTTCGGTTCAACCCAAAGTAATCGGGAACGAGCTAGGTTGTGTCAACAAAGACATTTGCGCGCTCCAAGGCTCAGCAGACGAACGCTGATAAAACTGCCTGCTTGCTTGACTTCAAGAATTGGGCCCACGAGCTGAAGCCGCGGCAGTGGCCCGGCCACTTGCAGGAGCCTCAAACTTGGGTCACACCGGGCTGTCACAGCCGTCTTGGCCCGGCCGCGTGCCACGAGAGCAAAACTGTGGCGCCCTTGGGCTGTCACGGCCTCACGGCTGTCCCCCTCAGGCTTCGGACTGTCACAGCTCTGTCACAGCTGTCTGTCACGGGCTCTGTGCGGGCGGCCTGGCGGTCGGATGTCACTTAGAATCTAACCCCAATCCTGTCGGGTGGGGGAAAAATGCACGGAGAATCACAAAGGACCCTCCGCTTAAGGCTCAGAACCTCAGCTGGAAGATGTGGGACTTTGAGGCTACCAAGATTCTTAGGGTGGTACTAGGAGCTCACGGGCTCTGTGCGGGCGGCCTGGCGGTCGGATGTCACTTAGAATCTAACCCCAATCCTGTCGGGTGGGGGAAAAATGCACGGAGAATCACAAAGGACCCTCCGCTTAAGGCTCAGAACCTCAGCTGGAAGATGTGGGACTTTGAGGCTACCAAGATTCTTAGGGTGGTACTAGGAGCTGCCCAACCAATGGCTCCAACGGGTATGAATTATAATTGGGAACCCGGTGGCCAACATTTGGGGACTGATTGTCAACCTCCCACTTATCAGGGGTGAGGGATCAAAAAAAACTTTTTAGGCATCAAAAGAAACTTATTTCTAAAGATCAAAAAAAACTTCTTAGGCATCAAAAAAAAAACGTATGCTCATTGACTTACTATTGAAAATGAAAAATCAGAGGATCAAAAAAGAACTTTATAGACATCAAAAAAACTTATTCATTTCAGGAAGCACTTTCGCAAGGTCAGGTACAGATTTCGTGGCACGCGCGGCACTTTCGCAAGGTAGGCGCAATGCTTTCGCAGGTCAGGTACAGATTTCGCGGCAGGCGCAGCGCTTTCGCAAGGCGCGGTGCAGATTTCGCGGCAGGCGCAGCACTTTCGCAAGGTCAGGCACGGATTTCGTGGCAGGCGCAATACTTTCGGAAGGTCAGCCAGATTTCGCAGCAGGCGCAGCACTTTTGCAAGGTCAGGGACAGATTCGCGGCAGATGCAGGACTTTCGCAAGGTGCGGTCCACATTTCGCGGCAGGCGCAGCACTTTCGCAAGAGGTGCCAATTTCGCAGCAGGCGCAGCACTTTCGCAAGGTACGGTGCAGAGTTTGACGCAGGCGCAGCATTAAATCAGCGGGGGGGTTGGGGGGGGCGGCAGCCCCGCAGGGGCAGCACTTTTGCAAGAGGTACCAATTTCGCGGCAGGCGCAGAACTTTCGCAATACGGTGCAGAGTTTGACGCAGGCGCAGCATTAAATCAGCGGGGGGGTTGGGGGGGGCGGCAGCCCCCCCCCATGATGTTCGAAGAAGTGATGATTCAACAAAGGGTGGTGATGATCGAAGAAGTGATGATTCAGCAAAGGGTGCGGTAATCTAATCAGCGGGGGAGTTGGGGGGGGCGGCAGCCCCCCCCATGATGCTCGAAGAAGTGATGATTCAGCAAAGGGTGCGTTAATCACTGTTAACCTTCTACAACTCAGCGGGGTGGGTGAGGAAGGTCAGGTACAGATTTCGCAGCAGGCGCAGCACTTTAGCAAGGTCAGGTACAGATTCGGCGGTCCGCAGGCGCAGCACTTTCGCAAGAGGTACCAATTTCGTGGCAGGCGCAGCACTTTCGCAATACGGTGCAGAGTTTGACGCAGGCGCAGCATTAAATCAGCGGGGGGGTTGGGGGGGCGGAGCCCCCCCATGATGTTCGAGGAAGTGAAGATTTAACAAGGGGTGCGCAAAGCTCTGTAAGCATTCTACAAATCAGCAGGGGGGTTGGGGGGGCGGCAGCCCCCCCCATGATGCTCGAAGAAGCGATGATTCAACAAAGGGTGGTGATGATCGAAGAAGTGATGATTCAGCGAAGGGTGCTGTAATCTCTGCAAACATTCTGAAAATCAGCGGGGGGGTTGGGGGGGGGGTGTGCTCGAAGAAGTGATGATTCAGCAAAGGGGTGCGTTAATCCACTGTCAACCTTCTTCAAATCAGCGGGGTGGGTGAGGAAGGTCAGGTACAGATTCAGATTTCGCAGCAGGCGCAGCACTTTAGCAAGGTCAGGTACAGATTCGCAGCAGGCGCAGCACTTTAGCAAGGTCAGGTACAGATTTGGCGGTCCGCAGGCGCAGCACTTTCGCAAGAGGTACCAATTTTGTGGCAGGCGCAGCACTTTCGCAATACGGTGCAGAGTTTGAGGGAGGCGCAGCTTGGGGGGGGCGGCAGCCCCCCCCCATGATGCTCGAAGAAGTGATGATTCAACAAAGGGTGGTGATGATCGAAGAAGTGATGATTCAGCGAAGGGTGCGGTAATCTCTGCAAACATTCTGAAAATCAGCGGGGGGGTTGGGGGGGGGGGCAGCCCCCCATGATGCTCGAAGAAGTGATGATTCAGCAAAGGGTGCGTTAATCACTGTCAACCTTCTACAAATCAGCGGGGTGGTTGGGGGGTCCTTCCTTCCTTCCTTCCTTCCTTCCTTCCTTCCTTCCTTCCTTCCTTCCTTCTTCCTTCCTTCCTTCCTTCCTTCCTTCCTTCCTTCCTTCCCCCCATAGGAATGAGCATAAGCTTTTTTTGATGCCTAATAAGTTTTTTTGATGCCTAATAAGTTTTTTGTTGATGCCTAATAAGTTCTTTTGATGCCTATCCCACTTATCAGGGGCTCCAACTGTTGAATGCCATGGCTGACCAAAACGTGTGGAGAAGTCAAAACATAAATCATCGAAACTCGGTCTTGGCATGGGCCCAAACCAGCCGAGCCTTCGCCCAACGGGTGCCGGTCATGAGGGTGTTGAAGCTGATGGTGTTGGGCCAAGATGACTCCTGATGGCCAACCGAAATGGACTAAACCTACCTTCCGACTTTGAACATTCGCATGCTCAAAAAAACAACTCCGTCTCTTTTTTTGGTGGCAAAAACGAAAACCCCAGACGGTCCACGATGGCCCGACCCAGCCCCTCTCCTTGAGGCTCAGCATCGCTGCAGCTTCTCGCCACTGCGCTGCCTGACTCATGGCCTCAGCCGCGCTCAACGGAAATCGGAAAGCCGTCCTCACAGGAACAGACTGGGCTCTGTGGCGGGTGGTTGATGGTTTTGTTTCATGATTGTGTCTATGAAACGGCAACCCACTTTGAAGCGATGCTTTCAAGATACGCCAGGCCCAACCTTAAGTGCCGCACATGCAGCAGGGAGTTCCGAAAAGGACTGCTCAATCGGACGGACCTGCTGCGGACACACGGGTGTATATGAACGACGAAAAAGGAGTGTCCAACTTCAAACACACGGGTATCCTGCGACAAAAAACGAAATATTGCCAAACAATGGGCGTGCTTCCTGGTTGACCTCCCTTTTGAAACAAACCAAAAAAGCGCGACATGCCAGCCTCTGGCCTGCATCCTTGAGAAGCCGCAGCGCCCAAAGCCATTCACCTGACTCGGCGTCTGGCTCAAGAAACTGATCCCAGAGTTCAGCCCCGGGTCAAAACAGACCCAAACTTTAGAAACTCCCTTTCATACGTTAAGACCTAACCCGTTTATGTTCCTTTCTCTCTGTGAGCCAAGGCGAGTGGTCCCAGACTGAGAAGCCTGCGCACGCAGGGCACTAAGGTCCCGTAGGTGACCACAGTGGGCCTCACACAAACGAGTGCCCGGCCCCCCGGTTTTTCCGAAGCTCGGAGGTCCCTGCTGCAAGCCTTCGCATCTCAGGTCCTCCAACAGCTTCACGGCCTGCGAGGTCGAAGCAAAGGCAATGCGAGGTCCATAACGCGAGGCCTTCAGTCCCTGCTTGCCATCGTTGCAGGCTGAAATGGCCTGGCAACTGGCTGCCCATCAAAACTCCCGTCTTGGTCGTAATTAATTAATGCCAGGCGCACAAAGTTCCAAACCACCACATCCGCTTGCAAGGTGGGCCGCCTCAGATTTGTACCAAAAAGCCACACAGCGCCCGCCTTTCAAACACGCCAAGCGGTTTTCCGCATTGCATTCGCGCGAGCGAGTGGCAGGGTGTCCATCAGCTGCAAGGCATGGTTCCACCGAGAAGCCTGGTCCAATGCGGCGCGAAGTGGGCAGAAGGGGAGGCATCGGTGGGAAAAATTGAAATAAGACCACTTGTACATCGAAAACCCGGACAAAAGTCATGTTTTTGCAAGAGATTACGTTTTTGTTGTTTTTTGATGCGCAAAGCCTCTGTGCGAGCGATACCCCGGTCCTTCCGGCAGGAGCCAAGTCCAGCCTGCCGACCAGGTCGAGCAAAAGGGGAGCCTTTTCCCTGTAGCCATCAGCTTCCATTGCAGTTTCGGGACCATGTAGCCTCGCAAGCCGCCAATCCAAAGTACCAAAAACCCTGGCTCACATTCCTGAAAAAAGAGCACCCCACTTGCACCCCTGCCATCTGTAAGCTCGATCCAAGCTCTTGGCGCTGAGGGTGACAGCGTCAGAGTCCACAGCATTGGAACGCGCCTCCTAGGCCAGGCCAGGAGGCTCTCCAAGTCGTGTTTGGGTTGTTGGCTGCTCAGCCCATAGCCGCCCACAGGACAAAACGATTTGCTGACAGAGCTAGCGTGACAAATCATTACTGTTGACGGACGAAATCCTGCACCGCTTTTGTCATGGGGAAAAAACCCCCGCGCTCCCCATTTAACACCTATTATAACGGCCCTTGTTCGCAAACATTTTGGAATGGCCAAATTCCTGCACCACCTTTTGCGAATGCCAACAACATTGAAAAGGGGGAGCGGGGCACGCCGCCCGTTCAGTGGCAGAATGGAGTTGGCAGAGGCGATGCAGGATTTTGCCCGTCAACCATATCAGTTTGTAATGTTTCTGGCAATCCAACCTTGAAATTTGATGATGTCCCTGTCAATATAAACATTTTTATATGTAAGCATTATTAGCTAATTGAGAAATGAATCTATAAATATACATTCTATGATTAAAAATTAAAAGTTAATTGATGAAATGAAGCATTGGAAAATTAAACGTTATCAGCCTTACAAGAAAACACTAAAAATACCTGATGTCATGAAACAAACTGCCAAGGTGCTCCAAAGCAACTGACCCGCCAAGGGAATGACCTTTTACATTTTTAGTAGTGGGATTGTTTTTAATGACTTCTTCCGCATCTTGATATCTTTCACTGTATTTTGTGAGTCCAAAAGGTATTTTAGTAATCCCAAATATCACGCAACCCATTTTCCAAATGATCCACTTATATGCAGTTTATTTCCGCTTGCCTTTAAACCATTAGTAGCATCATATTCTCGTTGTAATCCCTGAGCATCACTTAAATTATTTCAGGGTTGTAGCGTCAGAGCATCCAAAACGTATGGCTGGACGCTGTTCCAGGTGCTCCTTGCCTTGTGCCAGGTCATCCAAGCTGGCGGCAAGGGCATCTCTCGTGTCCGCACCTGCCTGTCCAGCTCAGCGTCGCGTAAGAGCTTTTCTAAGTGCGACCGGCTCCTGAAAAAACTCGCACGTGCACCCCCTTCCATTCTGCGACTCTAGCTCCCCCTGCTCTTCCTCCTCGTCTATGTCAAGGGCAGAGGAGACTGTGCTGCGGAGCGCCGTTTGCACACTGTCGCTCATCTGCAGCACTGGTGGCGGGCACTTGGTTGTGCCATGAGCGGCAGCCTGTGCAAAGCGGCCCAGAAGTCTGCACCGGCCATCTCCAGCCCACACAGCACGTCCCTGCTTGCTCTGGTCAGGCCGATCGCAAGCTTGCCCCTGTCCAGCAACGACCCTCGGCAGACATTCTGGGGGAATGAAGAGTATGCTGCGCTTCGTCTCCGAGCCCTTCGCCTACCTGTGGGTCTGCACAGTGACGCGATCGCCAAACCCAAGCTGGTCCACAAAGCGCCGGAGCAGTTTCCGGAGCGCAGCATACCATACGAGGATGAGGACGTCGCTGAAGTCGAGGAAGCAAAAGCGGACGAGGTTGGCTAAGGCGGCAAAGCCTTCAGGGCTGTAAACGGCCCAAACACCGCCACCTTCTTGCGACTGCCAGCGCAGGTCTGAGGCAGCTGCCAGTCTCCGCGGACATGTTCTTGTATGGCTCGATGGTGCGTCCCAGGATGTTGACCAACTCCTGGCTGAGGCGATGTGTAGTCTGCAGTTGCAGTGCAGTTCCCAGTCTTCTGGATGAAGCCTGGGGCCGGTGTGGGAAGCCCGCTATCATCGCCCCACTCGCGCAGACCAGACACCCGATCAAAGGGCCACATGTCCTGGGCTGGGTCGTGCATAAGGAGGGCAATCCACAACCAGTAGCTGTGTCTGCTCTGCCTTGAAGATCCTTGAAGCGCTGGTCGGCTCACCTGCTAAAAACTTGGTCAATGAGGCGTGGGTGCGCACCACGGTCTTGGTGGGGCCAAGGCTGGCACCAGCTGTTGTCTGGCGGTAGATGGTGGGAGGTCAAAGCAGCTTTGGCTTGGTCAAATGGTGCGCGCCAAGTCATGTAGGAAAGCTGCGTTTCAAGGGCCACCAGGCGTTGCACTTCGTCGGGTCGAGCCCGGTGTAGAGCGTCCAGCAGTTGGTCGTAGATAAGGTCTTCGCCGTCGGCGCTCTGCCCGCACACCAGGACGCCAGCTGGGTCTACCGCTTGCAGCGGAGTCCCGCAAGGCCCGGGCTGGCGCAGCGTAGACGTAGACTGCATCTGCGCCCTCGGCTCCCGTGGGCCGCTGCAAGAAGACGGGACGCGGTGTCGGCTAGCACGGGGCGCCCTCTGGGCAGCCCTTCCTGCGCAAGCTTCAAGTCATGCCAGACGCTATCATGTGCACCACCTAACTTGAAAACCTTTGCGCCTGGCACGCAAGCCCTCAAAAGCCAAACCAAGCAAGACTCTTCTCAAGACCCGGTGAAGACGTGTCGCCCTCTGGGGGCTGTCCGGCTCTGCGACGCCAGAACTTTCCAAGTCCATCTACTAATGGCAAAGCTGCCAAAGACAACCAGGACTGCGGGCCCGGAGGTGAAGCTCACTGCTGGCCTGCTAGGGTGCCAGCACGGGTGACACGCTGTGTTACGCTGACAGCAACGCAATCTTCCCCCCCCCAGTTTGCCTTCAAGCCCTGCCGTCTAGCCAGGCCTCAGCGTGAACTTGGCGTTGTCTGCCGACCGCGAGGGAAGATCGTCCTCGTGTCGACCAAGGTACTTGGGGTGGACCTGAAACTTGTCCAGCGGGCAAACCCAGACCATGTGGTCTTTGAACGCAGAAGCCCTTTCCTCATCTAGTGGGCGAAAGGCTCTTGCAACTTTGGAGCTTTGCATGAACACCAGAAGGGATGCCTGCGCAGGTCCAGTCAGCAAGGTGTGCTTCAGCCGCTCTCGCATAGACCGGCCAACGGCAAAGAATGCCACCGGTGGTGTAGGTGGCACAAAATCAAAATCACTGCGCAAGGTTTTAGCCCACCCCCCTTGAAATATATCTCCAAACAAGGCGCCTCACTTGCAGGAGCTCCACGAGAGACAAAGCTGGGGAAGTCGTCCGACCACACTACGGGTTCTGAACGTTCTGGAGAAATGCCACAGGTGTGAAGGGGGAGCGGCGCAGTGTCTGAGGGTACGTCTAAAGACAACCTCAGACTTTGCCTGCTTCACCACTGCCCGCGTGCGCTGACGAAACCGCTGGCTAGTCCTTGCCTCGCCGCAGCCTCCTGCAGCACTTCCATTGGTAAGTCTCGGAGGTGTGCGTATTCCACGCAAACAACCGGCTGGGCAGACGGTCTGGCACCAAGCGGCATCCCTTCTCTCCACTCTGCCGGAAATTTAGGGCTGGTTGTACAACTGTGACAAGTTCAGCGCAAGCGCCGTGGCACCCCTTTGCGCAGCAGGCCCTCTGGGCACTGCGTGGCTCTAGAGCAGGCTTGAAGCTCGTTTTTTGCACTACTTGGTTGTTCGCACACGCGTGGTCCGTCACTTGAGCAAAGACTGCAGGCAGGATGCTGCGCTACGCCGAAGAGACAACGCTAAGGCAACCGCAAACAGGCACTGGGCCAAGTGACTTGGAGCACACACCTGACGGACCGCTGTGCCTTCAGAAGTAGCCGGCGGCGCCGGCATGCTGGAGGTTGACCTACGCTGCAGCTGGCGCAGGCTAAGGTTTGGCACGCCAGCCCTGACTTCAAACTCGGCCCTAAAGGGTCGCCCAATGACAGCCCACGGCCCACAGCCTTCTACAGCACTTACTTGCTAGACAAAAAGGAAACGAGCAAACATCATCCACTGGAAAACTGACTAGCCTCAAGACGAGCTGTCTTGACTGCGCCTTTGATCTCTCTGCTGCCGGACTCCAGCAAGCAAACCTCATCACGGACAGTTGTGCTGAACTTCTTGACGTCTAGAATGAGCCTCAGCCATGGCTGGCGCAGTGTCAATGCAGCATCGCCACTGTCGCAACCTAAAGGGTCCAAATACGCAATTGTTTCTTAATTGCATGGAAGGATCGTCCGCTACAGGTGGCTGAAAAAGCCAGCAGCGGCAACAGCGCAAGGCGTTGGCAAGCAAAAGCACCTGGCCGGCTCCCCGGCCAAGAACAGGCAGGTGAAAGGCGTGCTACTCCCAGGACAGGTCTGAAGCAGGCCTGAAAGCGCCCTGAAGCGGTGCCCAAGAAGCGTCCAAACGTTAGCACGCAAAATGTGAACCGAGATCCCCACGCAGCGCACCGTGCGCTGCTGCTGCAGCTGCTCAGGCTTGGCCGGAAAGGCAAAGATTACAGAAAAGGAAGGCAAAGGCTGCAAAGGGTGCCGAAAAGGGTCGCCAAATGACAGCCCACAGCCTTCTACAACACGTTACTTGCTAGACAAAAAGGAAACGAAGGAAGCCTGACACGAACCAATAGGAAGGATGGCTTTCAATTTTGCGAAATGCCGCTTCCTGCATAGAGAAACGAACGTACGACCGTCATGAGCGAATCGGGACCACCCTTTCAAATCAAACTCGGAAATCGCAACTTCTCAGTGCAAGCAAAGCGCACGTCCGCAGATCCAGCTCGAAAGTCAGAACTTGCCAAAGCTGCACGTTCTCGTTCTCTGCGGCTGCAGGTGTTGCCGTACTACCCGCAGCACGTGCGGTTCGCCCAGCTTGCCTTTGTTGCACTTTCTCATGTAAGTAGTTTGGCGTTTAACTTGCCCTCAAACCCTCACTTTAGGTTCAGGTTTTGGGTTTCTCTTGCCTTCGTTTAAGGCTCAGGGAAAGGGACTTCCGCTTAAAATTTAGGGTTCGGTTTTAGGTTTAATTGGTCTCAAACTAACCATTTAGGGTTTAGTTTTGGGGCTTCGGCCTGAGACTAGGGTGGTCCCAAAAAAATGCACGTAGCGTCCCATCGAAAAGCCGCACCCGGCGCAGTTGCGCGCATTGGCGAAGGCTTGCCAATGTTCTAAGCGCAGACCGTTCGATATCAGGCGCGGGTGCTAAAACAGTGGCAAGCGCGAGGGAATCTGAGCGTGTGAGGCCTCCGCAAAAAGTTTGCAGGCAAACCACAAGTGCTGGCCGGACATAGCCGCCTATTCGCAGCAGGCCCTCTTGGCACTGCGTGGGCAGACTGACGAAGAACACAAGCCCAATGAAGGAATTGTCGGCACAGCAGGCCCTCGCGGGTTTGCTCGGGTTTGCGCGGGTTTCGCGGCCGGCGCAGCACTTTTTCAAAGTCAGGTACAGATTTCGTGGCAGACGCAGCACTTTCGCAAGGTCCGCTATAGATTTCGTGGCCGGCGCAGCACTTTCCCAAGGTCAGGTACAGATTTCGTGGCAGGCGCAAGACTTTCGCAAGGTCAGCTATAGATTTCGTGGCCGGCGCAGCACTTTCCCAAGGTCAGGTACAGATTTCGTGGCAGGCGCAAGACTTTCGCAAGGTCAGGTACAGATTTTGTGGCAGGCGCAGCACTTTCCCAAGGTCAGGTACAGATTTCGTGGCAGGCGCAAGACTTTCGCAAGGTCAGCTATAGATTTCGTGGCCGGCGCAGCACTTTCCCAAGGTCAGGTACAGATTTCGTGGCAGGCGCAAGACTTTCGCAAGGTCAGGTACAGATTTTGTGGCAGGCGCAGCACTTTCCCAAGGTCAGGTACAGATTTCGTGGCAGGCGCAAGACTTTCGCAAGGTCAGCTATAGATTTCGTGGCCGGCGCAGCACTTTCCCAAGGTCAGGTACAGATTTCGTGGCAGGCGCAAGACTTTCGCAAGGTCAGGTACAGATTTTGTGGCAGGCGCAGCACTTTTGCAAGGTCAGGCACAGATTTCATGGCAGCCGCTGCACTTTCGCAAGGTCGCAGCACTTTCGCAAGTGCCCACCGGCGCGAACCGGCGCCAACCGGCGCGAACCGGCGCCAACCGGTGCGAACCGGTGCGAACCGGTGCGATTCGGTGCGAACCGCTGCGCATGGAATTGCGGACGCGTCTACCACCGCAATGTAATATTATATCAATTATATCCTATAAATATGGTAAGTCTGGATATATGAAAATAAAGCACAATCATAATGAAGCATTGAAGAGAATACAACAACGATATAGAATTAACAGAACTGAAACAAAAAGGAAGACAAAGCACTGGACTATTGTAGCCAGTGGTGATAAAATAAAGAGACAAGAATTGAGTATTGCATTTCAAGAAATATACCTTTAAACATGTTAGATGGCATTGTAGGCGATGACGGTTATGAAGCAACGATAATAGTTGTGGTAATTTTATTTGTAAGTTTTCATCAGTTCAATTATTATGCAAACGATGAATTTTACACGTTTAGTTTTTATTTGCGTAGTGATGAGGTTGTAGATAATGTAACCATAGATAATATAGATGATGTAATGAGAGCGGCGCATCAAAACTTATACAGTTGTATGGATGATGAAAGAAGTATAATGAATTTTGAAGGAGTAAAAAACATAAGGCTTAAACTAATTATTGATGAACCTGAGTAATTGAAATAACCCATAAACCTTACAATATAATTAAACTTTAAGAATTATGTTTTGTAGGGGGTGTTTTGGTGTTGTTGATAGGTTGCTTTGTATTTTGTTTGTTTGTTTATGTTAGGGTTGTTGGTTTGGGTGTTGTTTGTCCTGTTTTTAGTTTCAAGGAATATTGATTTAGTTTCAATGAACATTGATTATTGGAATTTCGTTAAACCTATTCAAAGGATTAAGGACATTATAATGTAAGGATTATGGCAGAAAAATGTGTACTTTGATTAATGGTGTAAAATATGAAGGAGTTTTAGAAGATGGCTCATTCAAGACGCCTGAAAAGCATTGTAGAAATTGTGGTAAAATGAAAACTTATGATGAATTTGATGAAGGTAAAGAACTATGTAAAATATGTTTAGAAAATAAGCATAAAGAAAACAGAAATAAACATAAAGAAACAAATAATGATAAACAAAGAGCAACATTTAAAGAAGATGAACAATATAGAAATAAAACACTTGAAATAAATAGAAAATGGAACAGATTGAAATTAATTGTGATATTTGTGATTGTTATATGTCTCAATGATCGAAAAAAGCGACATATTAAAACAAATAAGACTAATAGACATTTAGAAATGAATAAGGTTGATTAATCTTGATTTTTTAAGTCATGTTTGTCAATGGCATTTAAATCAAAATTGTGAAGATGGTTTAAATAGCGAACATTCGATAAAGTTAAGACATATTTTTCCCAAAAACAATGAACTTATAAAATTCAAAGAATTGAAAACATGACTTAATATATAAAATGAAAAACGTTAATAAATACATAAAATGAATGGTGTTAAAAAGAAATTAGATAATGAATAAGGTTATAAACTCATAACCTTATTTACTTTTTATTGTTGTTTTTATTTGCAGGTTGTTACACACATTATTTTACTGCGCTGAATATATGTTTCTCTATTTCCCCCCCCCCCCCAGTCCCCCCCCCAAAACAAATGTTGTCCAATCATGG